CCTAATACGAATATTATGAGAGTTATTCATTTACAAGATAAATGATTTCTAAACTCTTCCATATAACGTCTTATATACTCTCATTATAATATACAGTGGGATAAAATTAAAATTTACTTCTAATATACCTGCATGAATGAATAGAATAAACGATAGCAATAGCTTGCTGATTATCTGTATCGATGGAAAGATTAAAAACCCATTGACGTTGACTCCAAAATAATGAATGAAATCGATTGATTTGTGTATGACATGGAGTTATTTGTAAATGTTCATTGATCATTTCTGTATATTTAAATTTAAATAAATGTAATTTTGACATATGTTGTATTATCAATTGTTCCCAACGATCAGCATCCAAATAAGAAAAATCTTTGTACGTATGAATACGTAATTTATGAAATTGAGAACCTATCTTTTTAATAAGATCTTCTAATTCATCAAATCGTAAATAACAATAACGTATACACATATGTGTTAAATGAATTAATTTAATTGGTATTTGTTGTTTCATAATTTGATTTGATTTTACTATTTGTTTACAAATTATATGAGATAATCGTGGTGTATATGAAAGAATAGTAATAAATTCATTCAATGTACATATATGATCAATAACAAGATATTCAATTGTACTAAGTTGTTTGTTAGTTGCCATTAATAAAGGATTGTTTATTTTTAATCCTCGAAATGAAAGTTTATGATATTTCAGCCTAGGTAAATTGAATATTAATTTATATAAATAACTCAGATCTTTCGAAGTTTTATGAAGATAAATAGTTAAAGAGAAAAGTCGAGGTAGGAAAACTAAATCGACAAGAAGTAATAATAATTCGCCTGTTCGAATATCTCTAAGAGTAATTGATTCAAGACGATTAAATTGTGAATTAATAGGAAACCATGTAAAAATTGGCGATTCACCAAAAGCATTATCAAAATTAAACGAAATAATTTGATGTCGTTTCGGTATAACAATATGTTTCGAACGATGTTCTAAAAGTACGCCAGAATACGAAACAAAATTTATTTTTAATCGAACAGATGAATCAATAAGTAATTGTTGAAAACGATAATTAAGATTTGAAAATGCTTCATATAATAAACAACCGTCGAGATAATCGAATATTTCATAAAATATTTCATTTGGTAAATTTTCAATACAACTAATTATTTTCAAAAAATAAATTATTAATATAAAATACAATTTTCTTACTTTTTTCTATCATATATTCCTATAAGAAAAATAAATCTAGGGAAATTATTCATGTAAATAAAAATCGGGTTTACTTTGTAATTTTTTTCTCTTGTTATTTTCAAACTCCATCATAGCCATTCGATTTTGTTTAGATTGATTCATGTGTTTGTATTTTCGAGAAACTACATATAATTCGAAATAATCATTTTTCTTTCGCCGTTAATATGAAAATATATCAATACTTACGATCAAACGTCTCAACCTTGCTGCGAAAGAAAGAAAAAGACAAAACAAAATAATAGGATTCATGTACAATATATATATATATATATTTTTTTCGGTGAAATAACGTGTCGTCTCATTCTCTTTCGCTGTTTTTTTCCTTTTCGAAAAGTTAAAATGAATCATTATGGTTCGTTTTTTCGTTATCAGCGTTATAATTTACATTACGAAATAATTATTCCCCATATGATAAAAACTAGGAATATATGGACTGATACTGAGTATATAAATCGAAAAATTAATTTTTTTACAAGATAAATAATCAAATAAATGTCTAAACTATTTTTTTAAAGCTTATTAGCTTATATGAATTTAAATACGAACATGCTGTACAAAACCATTAGCTTCGTTTTATAAAAATTCTTATAATTTATGATTTTATATATGTATAATAATATAATTTTTTCAAAATGTTCATTTGCATGGATGAAAAATTATCTAGAAAATACACGCAGTAACCTTTTCAGTACCTTCAACTGATTATTTATCGTTTTTTTCTTTATATCACTACGTAATGAATCATTTTTTTTGCGAGCAATCGAATAATTGCTGAAGTTACTTTTTCGTTCTTTTTTTTATGTTAGAGAAAATGTGTGCGAGTTAAAGGAAGAAAATTTCTAGTTTTTTTAATACAATTATTTTGTCGGGAAATATTTTGAATCAGATGCAGAATATCTGGAGGATCAAAGAATCATCAATCGCTATCAACCCTTTCATCACGGATGAAATTATTGATCGTATGGTTCGAACAATACTTACGAACACATGCGATTGACAGATGGTCAAAATATCATCAGTAAAATCTAACTCCTACTGTAAAGGTGCTCAAATTTTCTTGTAAAATCCCTATCGAGATGGTGTTGATACATATGACGAAACTAGAATACTACTGGAACAACAGCTGGTTGTATAGACTCGAGATCATTCGAAGTGTAATGTTGAAAAATAGGTTTGAATTACTTCTGAAGTTTTATTATTTTCCCGAAAATCATAAGTACCATTTAGACTAAGATAAAGTACTCAAGTTGAAACTACTTCTGGATTTACTCAAAGTCAAATTTTTATCTATAAATATTTCTCGTGCAGTTATTGTGATCGATGAAGCAATGGTACCATGGCGAAGTAGACTTTTATTCAAACAATGTGTTTTTAGAAAAGTGCATAAATGTAGGGTAAAGATATATATGAATTTTTCTGATGGTCTCTCCAGATGTTATTAGATTTTCGCATTCAGTAATTATGGTAAACACTGGAAAAACAAATTTTCAAAATAAATCAATGATGAAGGCACAAGTCGTAGTAGTTCAAAAAAAAGCGAGGCAAGATAGCGATTTATCTGACTAACTATCAACATATTATATGTATACCGCAGACGATCTAGGAGGTGATATTGAAAAATGGTATTTTATTGAATTTTTAGAATGGGAATAGTGAATAGTTATATAATATACAAGGAACACTATACAACAAGCAATATGGTCACCCTAAAGTTCCGCAAAGTTCTTGTGACATCTTTATTTATTGATGCATTATCTAAGAATCTGAAATCTGATATGAGACAACAGTCAATAAGCTACATCAAACTCACTAATTATAATTTCGAGAGTGGATGTAGGTGTCTTCTTTTTCCATATACCCCACATCTTTATAAATAAGTTAGTTTCATGAATATTGTATAGTGATACTTTTAAAAAAAACTTAATAAATATGAAATAATATCATTTATATTGTATTTTTCTACTTTCTCGTGAAATATTCAATACTAAAATAGAATATACATTTATACACAATACATGAAAGATAGAAAAAACTCTTCCAAATATGATTTTTCTAGTAAATATTTATATTAACTCTCCTTTCTCAAATCATCGATATGTTAACCATGATCATTAATTCGATTTAGGAGATTCAATTATGGAACTGTAGGACAATACTTGAATTTTTAATCCAACAAAATTTAATCTATGATGAATTCATTTGTATTTAGTTTCACTTTTGATACAGAACATCTATCTATATTTTCAGCTTCATTTTAAGTAAATTGTTTTTCTCACAATTCTTGTTTCATTAAAATTTCATTTGTCCTTTATGTCAAAATATATCTTTAGAGATTTGTTAATATTGAAATTCAAGAAAATTCATGTTTTCTTTCTATCGATGATAAATAACTTCCAAAACTTTAATTCTATTCAGTATAATCAAAGGTTATAACTAATACTTCTTTCCTTTCATAATAATAGTACAAATCAGAGAAAAAAAATACTAGTAGAGTTAAATAATGTGAACAGGTGAAATGGAAAACGAAGAAAATTGGTGATTTTATTCAGAAAAACACGAGTATATGTACATGGAATGGATATAGAGAAGACTTTGTCCAGAAGTTTCTTCTCTTTATCAAGCTCATGAAGATAGATTAACAATGAATCGAGGTCCTTAAAAGGTTAGACAGAAACATAAATACCTGGTGTAACGAAAGAGAAAGAACAACATATACGACAGAAGAGAAAAAAATGTATAAGAGAGAGAAAGATACAGCTATGTAACACGTGGTCAATAATAATATGAAAATATTTTGGTTGCTATATTCATATAGTATGTCATCCATATCAAAAAAATAAAATTTGTATTTTATTCTATAGACTATGAATTTAAGTATTATTTTTGTAATCAAAAGCATTTCAAATAGTTATAGAGATATGTAAAAGAATATGAGTGCGACCATTTAATCACAAACTAATAAATTCAAGTATAGACGATGAAAGAGACACTCGTAAAATATGAATTTATAGTAAAGATTTATGAATATATGTTTTTTTATGTTGATTAGCTGATAATGCAAAAGTAATGTCATAAAATGTCTACAAAGATATATTCTAAACGACGTTTTTTTACTTATTTTGTAACTATCTATGATTTATTTTCGTCGTAAACTCGTAATGAAAAATACATCTAACTAAATTTCATTATGTTTTTCTATAAAAATTCCACTAATAAACAAATTAAGACAAAAAAAAATCAAAATACTCTCCGTGATCTATTTCAATAGTTCGCTATAAAAAATTTGAATATTTCATTCATAAATAACCATCAATCTTATGATCAAATCTTTTTTTTTACATATCCTTTTCTATTTACTTTGATTACATTTATACACGTATCAATGTGTAAACTCATTGACTTGTTCCTTTACTTTTCTACTTGCGTTTACATACATTTCTTTTTAATATAAAACTAAAAACCAAACGATGGTCAGCATTCAAAAGATGGTTTTACTTTAATCATGATATTTATTTTCCTTAGATATATAGTTATAAAAAAAATGTATTAAAAATTGAAAAGGAAAAACAAAAAACGAAAAGAATAAATACAAAAGCTTGCTGTTTAATGATAATAATATAATATTTTGTTCACCTAAAATCAATTATTGATATACTCTTATTTTGATGATTTATCGCATGATCCTGTATATGTATCGGTACCACTACCAAGAGCAGGTAAGGTACTTTTTACCCAGCATTTAGCACTCTTGACATTGAATGTCCATGCAATACAATCTGGATATTCCTCACATAATGCAGCACATGCTGCTGGTGAGCGTACTTGTGCTGGATAATTGGCATTAATATCACCTCCACGATAATCCTTGCCAGAGATAAACTCTGTGCATCTTGAGCTTGTTGGTAGATCTAGACGAAACATCAAAAAAAGAATTGTATTATTAATTATTAAATCAATAATTATTTCATTCAAAACATTAATTATAACTTTTTTAGAATTTTTAGATAAAGAAAGGATTTAAGGAAAATCATTTAGAGTTGACATACTAGTATAGGTGGCTCCTCGTTTCATGTCTAAGAGAGCTCTGGCGAGATCTTCTTCGTCTGACTCATCATCATTGTAATGACTCTTTACACTACTTTGGCTTATGATAACAATACCAATAAGAATGAAAGCAATGATTGAGGATTGCATACTGTGCAGAAACTAAACAACAAAATACGTATATAAGTATTTGTATAATTATAAAGAATATTTTACCTTAACATATATGAGCGTTGTGAAAAATAAATGAAAGTAAATAGATAATATATGATTTTCGATGGGGATTGATAAACAGAAGATTTTGTCCTTGACTTGTTGTTTATTTTGATGCGATACAAAGAGATAGAGGAGTAAAATTATATTTTTTCATGCAATCATCGCCATAAAATGTGTCGTTCATTAATTTAGGTGAGAGGATGCCGTATTCTTTTTTTTTTATTTCGATGAAAGAAAAATATATTTACCTTTACTGCTCTAGTTAATAATAAGATTCATACTTTTTTACTCATTACTACGTGTCATTATGACATCGGTGCACAATATTCAATTACACTAGTACAATGTTGTCTTGAAGCAAAACAAGACTCATGCAATTATAAAATACATGGTATGGTGTGTTCATCGGATCTTGACAAAAAATAGACAATGATCGATTTGATAATGTATATTGTCCATTACTGAAGGTTCATGCAAAACTGTCTCTCTTATTCTGATTGCTTCTATTGAAAAGAAAAAAACAGTGGAGAAAAACAAATTTATGCATAAGTGTAATATATACAGTTTACTCGTTAACTTTATAATCGTATACAAAAAAACCTATATATCAGTTAATTATATTTCTAGCAACAAAGTTTTAATGGAAGAGTTTATCTTTCGATTATTAGCTCTAGTTTTTATCAACAGTCAGATAATTATTATCATGCAAAAGTTCGAAAATAAAGATTCGAGTATTGTCTAAATCATTTATTCTGGAGCATTTTTCATTGGTGATCATTTACATTCAAAGTATAACTGTTCCACTTCTAGTCAGAAGATGTGAGTATTTTGTTTTCAAAAACTAATTGTACTTTATCACAGAACGCTGCTGATGCTAAAATTAGTGATGATCGATGTTTTTCGATAAGTGAGAAAAAGAAATTTATTTTGATATGTATTTCGTGTTAGGCAATATAGATAAAGTTGGTTTTTTCGTGATGTAACATGTATTGTTTATTTTTGAGATCAGATTTATATATATTTTTGTTAGGTAGAAAATATGGAGATTATTTAACTGTAATCTAATGCAAAAGAAAAGAAAAGAAAAGCGTTCTGTTTTCATCGTTTTAACAAGAAACAAAAAATATTTTTCTAGTCATTTTCTTTTTGAGAAATAATAAATTTCACGCGTCGAATGTGTTAATTAATGATCAAATAATTAACGTACAAATTGTGAATTTTCATGTGGGAAGATTCGTATACCTATACAATAATGCATAATGGAACGATGGTTTGATGAATAAAACATATTGCATTAATCACCGTGATTCATTGAATCTTAAGAAATATAGATGTTTGTTGAATATAGTTGTACCTTAAAATCTTATCATCAAAATGATCACATCAATAATATTTTCCTCAGATGAAAAGGAGCAATTGAGAACAAATCTAATACAGCGTGGTATACAAAATATATACTCCCTGTTTTTGTACTAGATTAATTAAAAATCGATAATGATGTAATAATTATAATCATGACGCATCTATGTCATTCATAGACAAAACTTATACCTGATATTATAACACTGTATGCTAGTTTTACATATTATTTAAAAGATTCGCATTTATGATCAAGTGATAGTTTTGCTGCAATCAAGTTTAAAGAAATAATTTTGACATAAACTGCAGTAATCATTAGTTGATGTTTATTTGTATATAATTTAATTTTTTCTGAAAATTTAATAGATAGTCACTTCAATTGAAAAAATTGACTTATTCTATTGTTCCAATAAATATTTGTCTCGAATTTTACATATCAAACAATTCTAGTTTTTGTCGTCAAGATTAAGTTGTTTGCCATATAATCTTACCTATGTCATTAAATATATATTAGCATACCTTGTATGAAAAAAAACGAGTTTTTTCTCCGAAATCGTATCCTTGAATAAGTGATGCAATATGATGTGTCATGAAATCCAAGCTTTGACATGTAATAAAAGATAATAAAACTATTGAGATATAGTATGACATTTATTTATATATTACATAAAGATGAAAGGCCATCAATCAGCGACACCCTATGAAACTTGTGTCATGAATGGTTAGGAGACAGAACGAGTCATTCGATAGGTAAATGATAAGTATACTATGGCACGTCTGCTTTTGACATCTGATAATCATCTCAGAATATAGTAGACAAGATAAAGTGATTGCAAATATTATCATACATATCTTTTATAATATATGTTTTGACTAATATAATAATATTTGTTAAATAAAGCCCTAAATAATATTTAAATCATTTGATTTTCAACGAAATTTCCTATGTGTCATGTATATATAAATTACTTTTCTTTTTTTTCCATTTATTTATGACACCTACACTATATATGTTTGGTCTGCATTATTTTTAACCTTATAGGTGAGATGTCGACGCAGTAAATATATTGTTTCCTTTTTATATAATGTTAAAAAAACAATAATTGTGAAGTAAACATTTTTTTATCATTAGATCATTTAAGCATATATGCAAATTAACTTCCCGATTTTTTTCTTTTTTTCTCCTGTTCTCTTCGATTATTCTATTTTAGTATTCAAGATTGTGTATGAATGGTGTGTGTGCAGAGTTACCACTAAACAGTCAATCGTAGACTTTTTTTTCTCCTCATTCTGATTTTATATATATATTTATTTGTAAGTGAGTAGAAACAACGAGAAAATAAGGATAATAGTTTAAACTAAATATCCCTGTAGTATAATTGACAAAACAGGTATTAAGAATGTCCGTTTAAATTTCGTATATAACTCAAGATCAATATTTGATGAAGAAAAAATTACGATAGTCTTCTTAATATTTTTTTTCTTCGTTCTTTATTATTGCCGACGCAGGCCCTTAGTCAATACGAGAAATAAACGCCTCTACAAAACAACGGAAGTTCTATTCAGTAAGAATGTTAGAGAACATGAATCATGCGTAGTACTAATGGAGTAATATGAATAACATTGTTGCTAATGTAAATATGTATAAATATTTATGTATAGATCTTTCTTTTTTTAGATCACTGATAGAATCAAATGGCAGAAGAGTTTCGTGATGGTTTTCTGGTAATTTTATTAGTATAGTTTTGATGTATTAAATATTTTATTTTAGGGTGATGCCGGTTATGATATTTTAAAGAAATTAATGAAGAGTAACAATGATTTTACTTTTGATGTAGCAAAAGTTTTACAAGAACGGTATTAAGAGAAAAAATATTTAAATTAATGATTTATGAATGATTTATTTTTAGAAGTGATGCTGAGATGCTTTATGCAAGGGCACTTCGAAAAAATGGTGAATCATTAGAAAAACTTGCAAGTCGAACTGTCGGGTAAAACAAAAATTTGACTATAAAAATATTTAATTATAAATATTCGTTACCTGTAGATCACTAAAATTGGCATTAACAACTTTAGCTACACAAGCAGGCAAAGAAAGTGATGCACGTACTATTATTGCTGATGTATTAATAAAAGACATTTCTATACCAATGAAAAATCGTGCTGATAAACAACTTAAAGAGAAAAAAACAGTAAATAAAAACTATAGAATTTTTAGTTTTTGAAATTATTTATTAAGATTGAAGACACATTAAATGCAAAATTTAAAGAATGGAATACAAAAAAAGAAACGGATAATAAAGTAGGAACGGGAATTAATAATTTCTATTTTTTCATATTTATTTTATTTATTTTAGTATCGTTCACGTCAATTTGAAAAATCACAAGAAATTGAAAGTTTATATAATAAACTGGGTGAATTACCAAAGGGAACAAAAAATTTCGCCAAAGACTCAACAAAGGTAAGATATGAAAAAAAATATATATTAGAAAAAAATATTCTCAATATATAGGAGAATATTTTCTCTACACCATTGCTTATGGGTTGTGTCAAACCTGGTGGTGTACGTCGTACCAGTTGTTCAGAAAAGGTGTGGAAAAAATATCAAAAAAAAATGATTGCTCTGCTTATCAATTACTTGCTTTACTTATAAATAAAATCCTATAAGTTTCTTGAGGGTGTGGATCTTTTATTCATCTTAGAATAGAACTTATTAACTTACTTAAAAGGATAAGTAGTATAAGAGTTATTAAGTTTTCTTCTATTGCATTAAATAACTTATTTTTGTTTGGGTTTCTATTCTAATATTTTTTCCATAATAGACTACTGCAACTTCCGATGTCAAATCTCAGACGAATGTAAGAGTCATATAACTAACGAATCTTCTAAATTAATTTAATACTTGCTACTAACTGCTTTATATTAATTGATTGATTGATTTGACATCCAAATTCATTTTTACATTTATTTAATATTTCTCTATATTATATAGATTTCAACATCAATTCAAAAAGCTACAGAAGAATTAGAAAGAACAGAAATAAAATATCATACTTCAACAAGAGATGTTGAATTGGCACGACAAGCATGTGATGCTGAAATGTGTAGAGTAAATATTTGAAAAAAAGAGGCCAATCTTTAAATTATCATTTGTTTTATTTTATAGGGTTGTGATCAAATGCAGAAAATGGAATTAGAAAGAATAACTGAAATGGCTAATTTTATTCAAATTTATGCAAATTCAATACAATCATTTAGTGATACGATGTATCAAGTAAGTTTATTCAGAAAAATATATTCTTAAATAAACATGACCCAAACCCAAACTGTTTGGTAGTTGTGGCACCAAACTCAGTACCCAAACCCAAACCCCGACCCAAACTCCCAAACGGTTTTGAGATTGAGTTTGGGTTTGGGTCATGTCTATTCTTAAATGAAAATTTTCAAGAATACATTTTACTTAATATCAGTAATAATATTCGTGATATGAACTATTTCAGATCTTATATCGTTATCGATAAAATTTTTAAGTAAAACACATGAAAATTGATTTTTCGTAAGATAGTTACTTTGACTGATATGATTTGTAATATCAGTTATAAGGAAAAACTTGCTTTTCTTTCTCTCATATTCTAATAGATTTTTTCGAATTTTAGTCTCATATATTCCTCCGTAGAATCTTCTTTTTACATTCATTATTTTCGTGTATTTCTATGATTGTCTATTGTTTTATTTATAGGTTTCAAGTGATTTACTTTCCATTAAAATTAATCCAGAAGATGATATTATTACAGAAGTTCGATCATACAGTAAAAAAAAGGCTGAAACAGAGATATTACTTTACGATATATACGTATGTTAAACGATAATATTTTTGATCTTTCAATTAACATCAATCATGTTTAGGCAGAAACGAATCCTATGAATGATGAACGACGAATATCAAGTTTTGAGCGTTGGATAGATCTGTTAAAAAATGATATTAAAGTACAAAAACAACCAAATAATGGTTAGTAAAAATTTTCTTTTTTTTTCTTCATCTGCTACTTACTAATGCAATCTAAGAAAAAATATTACTTTTCTTATAGCCGGTATATCTGCTTTAATCAAGGCTTCTACTAATAAAATTGATGAAGATGAACTAGATATTTCAAGTGATGGCGCTATGTGTTCTACCCCATCTCATTCCAAAACAGGTACTATTTATATTGTATTTGCTTTGCCTATCAATGGTGTATTTATTTGATTTAATTTACCTGCATGTTTATATTTGCTTTTGTAGTAAACTCTGATCATCGTCATAGTCGAGATGGTTCATCATCTTCATCAAATGATGATGATGGTGCTATGCGTCGTAGTAAACACAAAAATCGAGACGAGAAAAAAACCGAAGGTAGTCTATTACACATATTTTTTAATTGTTGTTTCAATATGAATATTTTCAACATTTATTAAGTATTATTTCATATTTCAGGTGCGGAAAAAGTTGTCAGTGAAGTTTTTCTTGATCGACGTGGCGTAAGATGAATTTTATTTTATGTTCGGACGTTTTACTTTGTTCTCTTTTTTTATATTAAGGCTCGATTTTTACAAATTCTTTACGAAGCAAGTTTATATAAAATAGAAACAGCTTATAGTCAATTCAAAAATTTAACTGAACCATCCTATGAATATTCTAATTATATAACTCGAACTTCTAATGATAAAGTTTGTAGAAGATTGATTTAATTTTATTGTCTTAATTAATAAATATTTTTCAGGGAACTCCAACAACATTTATTCGTATTCCATTTCAACCATCAACATATACACCTCCATCAGCTCCACCAGCAACAAAATATTTTGCTGAAGCTATGCCAATGTTTACCGAACAGATGCCACAACTAAGATTACATAGTGTTCAAACACACGAACCACCACCACCACCTATTGGTTTTAGACAACCTCGAATGGAACATACAGGACCAGGTACAGAAATAAAGTTAATAATAACAAATTTGTGAGAAAAAGCAAGTTACAATACTCAACTATATTTTCTTACATGATAGTTTGAGCTTCCTTGATATTTTACACACATATTACAGTACAAAATTCTTGTTCTATTCTAATAATCTATTCATTATAACAGGTCGTTGTCATCGTCGAGCTAGTTGTAAGAAATCTGATAGGATTTCTCGTAAGTTTATTTTCATATATCCTAATCTTCTCGACTAACGCTAAAACTTCGCTTAAAATATCAATTATTTCTATACTCTATTTCTTCTTTTATTTATAATCAGAATTTATTCCAATAAGGTAGTCAATCAAATTTGCTCTACAAAAAAAATAATAATAATTTATAAAAATCAATTCACATGCTCTTATCGATTTTCTAATCTTTATTTACTAACATAATAATGCATGCTTGCTTTTTTTTTAATTTATAAAATTAGATTCTCATTCAATACGTGAGTTAAATATAACCAAAGTATTTTTTGCATGTGTATTGCTTTTGATACGGACATATGAATATGCATGATAGTATTTAAATATAGAATAAAAAAACAATTATTTTGTATATAGATAATGAACCAGAAGCATCTGCGCCACTTTATCCAGATATTATGACGACATCAGCAGGGCCTCCTCAACAATATCAACATCGACATCAACATAAACATGAACATCAACTTGTCCGAGCATTACATCCATATAAAGCACGAGAGAGTGATGAGTTAAGTTTTGAAAAAGGTAAAATAATTGAGATGAATATTTATCTATTACGTTTTCTTTTTATTTACTAAAGGTGATATTATTTTGTTACTTTGCACTCGAAGGGATGGTTGGTGTAAAGGACGTATAGAGGGAATAACTGGTCTATTTCCTGCCAATCATGTAGAAAATGTGTAATTATTATTGTTCATGTTTCTCGCTGTTCTTATTGAAAAAAACGGATTTAATCAAATGACTTTTTTTATAAATTGTCTGTACATAATCCAATTGTCAGGTCTTCTAAATTTTAATCTCTCAGAACGACTATGGAGTTAATTTAAGAGATTAAAATCTAGAAGTTCTATCGAGTATGATGTAGAACAGTATTTTTGGTGAATACTGATCAGAACCCGTCATATGTCTTTTTTTTATATTTATTCGTGTGTATTTTTTTTTTGTTTTAAATATAAATGTTGTAATTGGCTGTCGTCGAAGAATTTTATTCAAATATTTATTATTAGAAGGCTTCAGGTTTTATATTAATGTTTGTCTTAGCTGCAAAACATGAAGAAATTGTCTTCTAGTGCTTCTCGGTAAACAACAAGTTTCGTCTATATAGAAATGTTTATTACAGCCTACTCAATTGTTAATATATAAAAAATACAAAGTTATTTATTCAGAAGTAGACATGACCCAAACCCAAACTCATATTCAAACCGTTTGGGATTGGGTTTGGGTATTGGGTTTGGGTCTTCTTTTAATTGCCATCAATGTATCAAAAATAGTGTCTTCTACAGATTAAAAAAGCACAAACCCAAACTCACCAAACTCAAACAGTTTGGGTTTGGGTCATGTCTATTTAGAAGGAATAAGATAATTCAAACGACATCCATCGAGTTAAACATTTCTAGACGGGAAGTCGAATTTCATGCTTGATACTTTAAGATATTATGGAGATACAAACTAGAAGAAATTTCGAATGTAATTGTTTTTGAGTTTTAAACGTAAGGTAATCAATAGTGAATGGAATAGGAAAAGTTGTACCTAAAATATTATTTGTGATCTTTAATTTATCGATAGAAAGAAATATTTGCTATTTAGAAATCTTCGTGTGTGTATGAAACCGCAGTAAACTTTCTTTTGATATATCATTTGTATTCAAAAGATAAGGAAACGATAACAATGAGATTTTATCTTTAGATTTATTCAAAAAAAATAAGATGTAAAATAGTAAGTTGTCAATGTATCATCTTTATCTGTACTTTTGATGTTGTTCTGTGTTAAGTAATGGGCAAAAAATTATCGTTACCATCAAAACAATATGTGCGTTGTAGTATATTCGAAACTCTTAGTAATGATATCTTATTAGAATTATTCGATTATTTATTTCCAAATGAAATCTATGAATCATTTAGTCATTTGAATAATCGTCTTGATAATTTGATTGATAGTTATCCACAACATGTAAACTTTCAATTCAATACGACTATACCTCGTTATATTCGTTCATTAAAAATTACCAGCACAAATCAAGTACCTTTATTTTTCTCTCTTCATTCTTCTCAACTATCAAACATTCGAGGGTTAACTTTAAGTAATTTATATGTACAACAGTTACTTGACATGCTTAATATTATAGAATTTCAACAATTAGAATATATTTATTTAGGTGTATGTCGAGAAGGTATAACTCAAAATGATCTAATTAAATCTGTACAAACAAAAATTCTTACTTTGGGTAAATATCGTTTACGTCGATGTCATTTACGTGGTCATCTTCTCGTTAATATTAATGATTTACCTTTATCACTTCCATTCCTTGAATATATTCATCTAGATGGTTGTGACAATTTTGTTGTTCTTTCTTCATTTCTTTCTCGTATGCCAAATCTAAAATTTCTTCGAGTATCATTACTTACTTCAACACGATATCCATTGCAAACAGTATCCTGTCGAATTACTCATCTAGTTTTAAGACTCCATTCAGAGTGTTCCATATCGGACCTTAAAATATTCTTCGATACGTGTTGTTCATATGTTGAAAAATTAATTGTTGAGTCATGTACTGAAAAATTTTATCTACCAAAATTATTGATAAACAAGCAGAAATGGATTGAAATTCTCCCTAGTCGAATCACTTGGTTTCATCTGAAGGCAATTATTAGTGTACATGATTATCTAGTATTCAATATTATTAAACGTTCAAAATTCTATAATACTATTTCATTAATGCATAATGAATATCAAAATCATCTTTGTCAAACAATTATAGAAGAACCATTTACAAGTGTATGGTAAATCTTAACGAGATAAAATTAATTCGCTTACTATCAAATCGAGTGACTTACTCGCATTAGATCATTACTTGAAAATTACACTTTATGAAGCATGTGTTTTAGAGAGAAATTCGTATTTTTTTATATTTGTTCAATAATAAAAAAGTATATCGCAATGAGAAACACCATAGAATGAGAAGCAATCAATTGATTATATATAATAGCAGGAAAGAATAATGAAACAATCTTGTTGTTCTTTTACATCATTTAGTCAACATGAACGTATAAGAGGTGTATATAAATTACTAGAAGTTCTGTTACACTTGTTGAACTTGATGTTTCGTTTAAAACTATCATTGTTTTACATGCAGTTCTCTTTTAATTATTACACTCTCTTCTCGAACTCCTTTTGTATAAGCTCCTTATCTCTTTGTTGATTGAATGTTAGACTCTCTCAGAGTAAAAAGAAAACAATATAAATACGAGACGTTTCAACAAGAACTGAGTGATAAACATGTAAAAATGATATTATGTAAGTTGAGCGTGACTTTATTAATTTATTATTATAATATTCAATAAAATTTTGTCGAACAATAATAAGTATCACATACAATAAGGAGGCACTAATCGAGCTTCTGGACATGTATGACATAGTTTTTTCAGATCTTCTTTATCAATTCGTAGTTGATGAACAGCTAATGGTTTATCATAATAAATTGTTTCAACAGCAAATGTTTTTGATACATTTAGTGGAGCCATATTTCCAACATTTGAAAAACGTATGGAATACCATATATCTTCATTCTGATTTCCATTATAATGAACATTTCGAAGAAGAGCCAGTGTTTTACTTTTACTTCTAAGTGAAAAACCTCCATTTCCTCCATAAGGTAATATAGTTTTCCAAGGAGCACCAACATAATCATATTTTAAATATTCACTTATTTTATGTGGTGAATTGGAACACATAATTGAATCAAGTTGAAAGAAAAGTACTTTCTCACCTCGTATTTGCTTCCAAAATGTTATATTTGTGAATAATGTATTGGTAAATACAGTGTAGTTGCCACTGTAATCATGAAGTTTCGTTAGAATAATCTTTCCTAATTTAACATATTTGAATAATCGTGAACTATTAATAAACTGAGCATTGGATTCAAAATGAAAGATTTGAATAGGCCAACTTTCAGGTATGTTTTGAAGTACATTTAAAACAATTGTTATTAGAAGTGGATCTGATCGTAACTCAACAATGACAGCTATATTTTTATAATGAGTAAGTTTATTATTAAATCCACTAGGTGAACCACTATTTGGAATACAATCTTCTAACAATATAAAATCTTTTGAGACTTTGTTGATATGATAATCAACAATGATAATAAAAATTAAAAAAACACCAATAAGTTCAATTCTATAACGAAATATTTTTCTAAAAGTATCATTTCTATGTACCATTCCAAGAACAATTGACAGTTAACAATATAGTCTTTGATTACTGTTAGATATAAAAGTAGAAAACAGCTATCTAAAATTACGAATGAAGATATGATTATAATACAAAAAATATTTGAATATGAAAGAGTATAAGATGAAGCTCTGAAATCAGAATGGGTAGGTGTAAAAATATGTCATAGAACTGTTTAACATGCACTTATCCACTCCAAAACGAATAGATCTTCTATACACGAGTCATAAAGATAAACTCTTGGTCAAGAAAATCAATATACCATCTAAAAATAACAAGTACTAAAGAGATAGACTGTACAAGAGAATATGCAGGCTATCTTATGCATACGACACATGTATAAATTCTCATAGAGTTTCAAAAAGCCCATAAACAACTTTCGAAATGATTTCAAATTAAGAAATTCTAGAAGCACAAAGAGTACTCTATAGCTTATACATAGGCGAAAAATGCAAGTCCCTGTTTTGTCATGTATTCAAGTTATTATGTAAAAATTGTCAATCTATATATATATCAGATAATTAAGAAGAAAAAGAAATGATTATGAGAAGGACTTATTAAACCTCGTTTTGTAACAGATATATGTTAACAGAAAAAGAGGAGAAAATTAGTCGATTTGATTGCAGTAATATTACAAATGATAAAATAATTACGATTCAACATAAACTGTAAAATGGAAACATAAAGCTATTACCAATAGTTGTTTGAATACCATATTACTACATAAATTAATTCGAACAAATATTGTCATTAAATAAGAAAAGACAACGTCGGAATAATTGTTAAATAATCTAAAAAAAAATAATAATATATACATCTAACGATCAATATGATTTATATTTTTGTCTGACTTTATTTCAATTAGTCCTATACTTTTTTAGATGTCCAACTTCCTCAACTATCGTTATCAACACAGTTGAACGAACACGTGAGAGAAAAAAAACAGTGAAGAGTAAATGTGTGACAGGATGAAAAGAAAATGGGTGATATAATACATGCATATATGTACAAGTAAAAAAGAATAGACACTCACTTCTTCACTTTTCAACCTATGAATATAACGTAATTTTTTTTCTTTTTCTTTCTTCATTACGTATTTCTCATATAAAAACACACATGTGTAAACACGAGTCGCTTTTTTATTTTATAGACAACTATTCGATTGTTTCATTACATCTCATGTTAATTAATGATAAAAGATTTTATGGAAATTTTTAATAAGATGATATTTTGATGAAAAGCAAACAAATAAAATGACAATGATCTTTAGCTTGATGATGATGGTATTTTAAAAATATCTCGATTGATTCGATATACAACTCGTACAACTATCAAGTTTCTATAGCAGCAACAATTACATCTTTTAAAAACATGTCTTTTATTAAAGAGCTGATAATTAGAATACAAATTGTAAAACCGAACGAAGGAAGCACTAGTTATAAGTTTAATAATATAACAAAAATATGCTTGTTTATGTTGTTAATTGAAATTTATCATTATTTAAACTTGAATATAATCCTATAAAATGAACAATTAAAAATTGATTTTAAAAACAATTATTTTTAAACACAATGTTATATTAAACAGAAGCAAGAGATTGTACATTGACAGTTTGATGAGCGAGTGATTGATGTATATATATTCATATACTCATATGATAAGTCACATATTACATAGACTTCTTCGCATCTTAACTGTAAGAATATACTAGAATTAGTATTTACAAAGGCATAATCAAAGATCTGAACGGCTTTAAAATCAATAATGACCATATAAATTCGACAAAAATTTTGTTTTTCATATTTTAGTCAAGTAAGTTATTTTCTTATTGTGTTAATGAACTTGATTCTCAACAATAAGAATTTACGACTCTTATAGTTCAATTAAAATTACACGTTTCCGAATTAAGTTAATTTTTTTTGTAAGTGAACATCACTTTTTAATATGCTATATATTCATTCCATTTTCGTTTTTGTTGTTTTAGAAAATAAAAGCTTTATTGGTAATAAATATGATCACCAAATATAAAAATTTCGATCAATAATTTTTATTAAATATTTCATTCATCATTGTATCTTATATGGTATAAATGTATATGGAAGATAAATAACAAGTCATTTTCTTTGTTTTTTCAATAATAAAAATTACATAGTTGATTCAACACAGTTATCAGATATATGAATAGAAAATCATCATAGTTTATTCGACATGATCAATTCACCGATATTTGAAAAATATTTTCAACAATTCTTTTGTCTTGAATAATAACATGTTTCAATGAATCGAAAATAGTCTTAGATAAAAATATGCGTATTTGTTCAACTGAATTTGTCAGTTAACATAAAGGATTTTCTTCCTAATAATAAAATTAATATTTATTATTTAGTGAAAAATATGTATAAAGTTCAACTGAATAGAAGATCCGATATAATATTCCCCCAAAACTAGAATTCCATGTAAAGAATCATCATCATTCAATCCAAAACTGAAAATTATATTTGAATAAGTTGTTTCACAATTAAGATAATTGTTTAATTTGTAAATATGGTATATAAATTGAAATCAAATTTTCTCATTCTTGAGCATTCACATACTTCATTATATCATAGTTTGATGTTATATACAATACTTTAACGTAACTGAATTATGTTTCAATGAATGATGCAAAATAAACAAATTTTAACTTTTTTTTACCATGAATGGTAATCTGTTCTATTAATAAAATATTTTTTTTTAGAAAGAACTGAATAAATATATGAAATGAATCATCAATCGGAAATTATTGCTAGAACTTCTAGAGAAAAATATTAATTTATGCTTAAAACATGCTAATGGATGAAACAAACAATAATTTTCACTTGTTCTCTTCACTTGCCATTTTTACTACCGAATAAAAATAATTTATTTTATAGCGAAAAAACAAAACTGTGTCATTCTAAAAGAAAAATCAATGACATGCTTAAATATTATGTGACACATTCATATGAAATATTTTTTTGCTTAGAATATCAAATAAAAAATTGTTAAATTAATTATTAATATATGATATTTAAAAAATGAGATGTACAATAGTCTATAATTTTCAAATTAAATATATTTTAAGAATATAGAATTAAAAAATTATTCTAATCTTTTATTTTTTATAGATAATTTTACAACTGAAGTTTAGTAAATAAATAAAAATGTCAACTTTTTCAATAAATTCAAATATTATTCATATTGGAATGATCCGTAGTAAGTTTTATTAATTGATTTTATTTAACAATTCAGATGGATGTTTTGATTATCAATTTGATTTAAATTATCCTTCACAATTAAATCAAATAATAAGTCAAGAGCAATTTGAAGAATCAATAAATGAAATAAATCGTTCAACTAATGCATCATTTATTGAAAAATTCAAAATAATTATTTGTTTATTATGTGCAATTACTGGACTTGTAATATCTGTTATTGGAGGGATTTTTCAAGACACTTTGAATGATAAAAAGTATTTTTTTTGGTTGCTATTGGAGTTATAATGATTGTTATTGGAATTGTTTTGAATGTTTTATTTTGTTCTACAGCAAATTCTAGACGTTTTAGTCGAATTAAAATTGAGTCAACAAAATACTCTAATCAATCAATCGATTGGAATATTAATAAAATAAAAAAATTTCTCAAAATCAAGTCGAAAAGATTCTTTCAATTTTATTGATTATAATGTAAGATATTTTTTATCTATTTATTCTTTATTTATGCTCTTTGTGTTTCTCAGAAAGAAGAGGAAAGAGAAGTTAATCAATTCTTGATAAGATATAGCTCCTATGACCTTCTATACATAAAGATGACATCAAAGATTCCACCGAATTCATCATAGTGATGATCTTCCAAAATATGAAATTATTCAATTTAATGGAAATTCTGTTGGTTATCATTCGACATCGAATGAACAAGAACAAAATCCTCCTCCACCATATTCCAGTCTCTGTACATAGTTTTGTTCTGAATGTCAAACATCAAGAAAAAAATTCTTTCCATAAATCTTGCTTATCATGTCATCGAATCTTTGATTGAGATCAATGATATCTCAAATTCAGTGATCCTCCATATTTACACTGGAAATTAAATAACAATTAATTTTAGATTTTCTAAAGAATTATTTTTGTTTAATTTGTAGAATATCAAATAGTCTATTTTAAAATTAACCCAAGATATGGGTGAGAATTATTTTTCTTTCTCTCATTTTTACTCACACCCACCCTTAATCAATTATTGAGTATGAACCTTATTTTGATCAAATTAGTCGGTTTGATAATTTGTACTTTTTCATATGTAACTATAAAATGTATGCCTAGTATTGCGTTTTAATATTTTTATTTATTCCTTTTAAATATCTCTCACTTCTTGTCTACAACTCTAATCTTCATTGTTTGTTATTCCTCGAGCCATGAAAATGTATCGTTAGTACTGAGCTATTTCCATTTTATAGTCATCATTAATGAAATACAGCATTTCATGAGACATCGGATAATAGTTTAGTTAAATTTATTCAAACACCATTTCATATATAGTTTTAAAATTAAAATAAAACGGAATCAAATAACACTTTTTCTCTCCCATCACCATCTTATATAATTAAGATGAATATTAATGTGAACACTCTCATACAAAAATGCAGCAAGAAAGATAATCTGCAGTTTATTCTTAGTCACCGCACACATGTTCTAAAGAAAAGGACTTTGTTGAACCATGTACTACGGCCGTTGCACTCAGAAGAGTATCGTGGGTTGATGTGTAAACATAGGCATGTTGTGTGCTTGGTGTCTGAATCATTCTTGTCACACGGCCAGCTGTCTTGAATTGGCACTCGATAGAGACAAAAAGTGTTGATACATCTGGTGTAGTGAAATGCCAACCATAACGACCATTCGAAGATACGGGACAAGTGCCTTTTCGAAACGTCTTACTAGTTGTATTGACATGTTTCGAGTTTACATTCGCTACACAACGACCGGCAGTCAAAGTACAAGTTACATGACCATTTGAACCTGTATTTGCATAGCCTGTCTTGCAAGTACATTTAACTGCATTTGTTGCTGCATCATGAGAACACATTGCGTTAGCATCACATTCGCCATTCTTCACTTCACAGCTATCTATAAATACATAATATAGGAATGTGTGACAAAAAAATATCTATTTATGATTTGGATGAATTGTTCTACCTGTACAAACAAGTTTATGTTTAGAGCCAGTATTTGTAGTTCCAACTTTGCAACTACATATTGTTGCAAATGTTTTAGCATCATGTGAGCAAACTGAATTGTAAGGACAGTTACCATTGTCGATCTCACATTCATCTGAAGAAATTAGAAATAGATCATATTTTTTATTGTATTATATTTAAATTCATTTTCTTCAATTCCTTACCTACGCAGACAGGATTACAGGTACAACCTACGACTGCATAACCTGTCTTGCAAGCACATTTGGTCGCAAATGTTTTTGAATCATGAGAACATTGAGCATTTTCATTGCATCCACCGTTATTCACTTTACAACTGTCTGAAATGATTAAAATAATGTTTACATCAGATATCTTCACAAATTCTTTGTTGATCTTCTTACCTGTGCAAGTGACCTGAGAAGAAGAACCAGTATTAGTGTAGCCAGTCTTACAAGTACACTTGACTGCACCTGTTGATGAACTACGTGAACAGATTGCATTGTCACCACATCCGCCATTATTCACTTTGCAAATGTCTACAAACAGAAGATATTGAAAAAGATTTTTAAAACTTTTAAAGCATTTCTATTAGCCGATCTTGTTTACCTTTGCAGACGACACTTGAATTAGTACCAGTGTTTACGTATCCTTTCTTACAAGTGCATTTGATTGCATATGTTGTCATGTCATGTGAACAAACTGTATTTGAGCCACATCCACCATTTTTCACTTTACAGCTATCTAAAAAGGACAATAGTCACAAAAAATATATCATGTCTTACAATTCAGAGATTTTTTTGTTAAATGCTTTACCTGTACAAATGACATTAGAGGAGCAACCAGTGTTTGTGTATCCAGTTTTGCACGTACATTCAGGTAAATTTGTTTTTTTATTATGCGAACAGATGGCATTATCATCACATCCACCATTTTGCACTGTGCAGCTATCTATATAAATTAGACGAAAAAAAACGTTTGAAGAATTTTCATTTAAGTTCTTACCTGTACAGGTAACATTAGAATCGGAACCTGTATCTGTATATCCAGTGTTACAAGTACATTTGACTGCGTGCGTTTTTGAATCATGTGAGCATTTAGCATTAGTATCACAATCTCCATTTCTTACTTTACAGCTATCTAAAAATATAGTATAAAGAAAACAATTTACTAAATATTATTTCTCAAGGAGTTTCATTGAACATCTCACCTGTACAGACAGCTTTGCGAATAGAACCAGTGTTTGTAAAACCAGGCTTGCAAGTACATATGACATCATCTGTATTTTCTTTATCATTTGCACAAATCGCATTTGCATCACAACCACCATTATTGACCTTGCAATGAACTACAGAAATACAATACGTAAGTAATTTACAACTATTCTACATCGTTAATCTTAGCTAGACAGTGATACCTGTGCACACAACATTGGTGGCAGAACCAGTATTGACAAAACCTGGTTTACAAGTACATACAGCTACATTTGTTGTTGTATCTCGTGAACATTTTGCATCAATATTACATCCACCATTGTTCACTTGACAGATATCTACAATAAATAACATATGTCGATAACGCAAATGGATAATTTTAGTAGTTTTTATAGCTACGCTATTTTACCTGTACAAACGACTGTAGAATCAGAGCCTGTATTTTTGTAACCAGCTTTACAAGTGCATTGAACTGCATTAGTGTTTCCATTATGTGAGCAAACTGCATTTGTATCACAACCACCATTATTTACTTGACAAGTATCTGTAATCATGTAATATATAGAAAATAATTCCATTGTATCGAACAATGACTACAGTTAAACTATCCTACCTGTGCAAGTGACATTGGAGTCAGCGGCTGTATTTGTATAGCCAGTCTTACAAGTGCATTTAACTTCATACGTTTCCGAATCATGTGAACATATTGCATTTATTTCACATCCACCATTGTCCACTTGACAGCTATCTGTAAGCAAAGAACATTGATAAAGATTTTAAATCATCGCTCTCAGCTGAATGTCTTACCTGTGCAAATTGCATTACAGGCGCAGCCACTCTTTGTGTATCCTGTTTTGCAGATGCATTTCACTGTATTTGTTGATACTTTATGTGAACACACTGCATTCTCATTACATCCACCATTGTTCACTTGACAAGCATCTATGAAATTTTGTTATTAGAAAAATACCACATTATATATATATATATATCTAATCGGATTTTAGTGCAATTGTTTACCTGTACAAACAACATTAGAAGCAGAACCTGTGTTTGTATATCCTTTTTTGCAATCACATTTAACTGCATTGGTTTTGGATTCATGTGAACAAATTGCATGATCATCGCAGCCACCATTGTTTATTGTACAAGTATCTAAAATATTTTTATAGGAAAGAATTCGTTTGATGATAGAAGATAATGATCTTGATGAAAGTCTCACCTTCACAGACGACGTGCGAACCAGATCCTGTATTCGTATAACCAGTCATACAAGTACATACAATTGCGTTGTTTGTTGTATCATGTGAACACGTTGCATTGCCATCACATCCACCATTATTCACGTGACAGGTATCTACAAAGAATTAGTTAGATCAGTCGTATATTTTAAAAAGCTTTCGTTTCAATAGTTGTTGAAAACTAATTACATCGATCGGATGACGAAGCATCATACAGAAATTATCTATCTGATGAATGATATCACATTTTAGGAAACTGTGTCATTGCTAATCAATGAGTACTTAACTATTTAAAAGTCTTTTTATTTAAGTCTACCTTTCTTTAAGGATATTGCAAGCTTTCAAATTGTGCTATTTAAACACTCTTTTTGAAGAACTTCTAAAATGTGCAGATAAACTGATACTTCGATAGTCTTCGTATTCATCTATTAATTACGTTTGTTAGAGAAATTTTGTATTAATTATGGTTCGTTGTTATTATTCATTTTTCATTCGATTTTCAATATAAAAATATCCTACTCGACGCTTCTTCAGCGCAGTAGTGTCAATAATCGCCTTGAAGACTCTAACGAGAGTAGAGGCAGACCTCATGCTAACATACATATCCGAAATATTTCAATCGCTTTCTCACCTGTGCACATCACATTTGATTCAGAGCCAGTATTTGTAAATCCTTCCTTGCAAATACATTTGACTGCATATGTGTTCGTAGAATGTGAGCAAATTGCATTTACATCACAACCGCCATTGTTGACATCACAGCTATCTAGTAAAGATAAAGAAAACAATGCACTTCATATATCAAGTATATATTTCACTTCATCTGAATCATTTACCTGTACAAATTACGTTATACGAGGATCCAGTATTCATATAACCTGTCTTGCAAGTACATTTGACTAAATTTGTTGTTTTATCGTGATCACAGTCAGCATGGCTGCCACATTCACCATTATTTACGTTGCAACTATCTAGAAAAAGATAAGAGAAAATCTCGACATATTTTATATCATTTGATTCCATTAAGTTTCTTACCAGTGCAAGTAGCATTTGTGTCTGAACCAACGTTCATGTATCCTGCTTTGCAAGTACATACGACATCATTTGTCGACACGTGATGTGAACAGATTGCATTGATATCGCATCTACCATTTTCCACAGTACAACTATCTAAAAATATCGAGTACCGAACACAAATGTACTTAGTCTTGATTATTGTTTTTTCAAATCAATCAATATACCTTTACAGACAACCTTTGACTCAGAACCTATGTTTACATATCCAGCCATACAAGTACACATAGTTGAATACGTTCTTTCATCATGATGGCAAGTCGCATGCACATCGCATCCACCATTATCTACTTTACAACTATCTAGAAAGATTACACACCGAATATAATTGCTATACAATATATCACCGCGATTTTAATGTATTAGTTTTACCTTTACAGTTCACATTCATAGTAGAACCCGTGTTTGTGTATCCTGTCTTGCAATAGCAATTTACTGCATGAGTCGATCCATCATGAGAACACACTGCATTCTCTCCACAATTACCATTATTTACTTCACAAGTATCTACAAATGAAAACAATCAAATGAAAAAGTTTTCCATCTAGTAAATCTTTTGACTCGTTAATGCTACTCACCTGTACAAGTCACATTCGATTCTGTACCAGTATTTGTATATCCCATCTTGCAAGTGCATTTAACTGCATTGTCTGGCGAACGATGATCACAGATTGCATTCATATCGCATCCACCATTATTTACTTGACAGCTATCTACAATAGAAAATGTCATCCCCAAAGGGTTTAAATACTCCTAATCATTATATGAGCTGAGTTATCATACCTATACACTCAACACGGGGACCAGCCGCTGTGTCCGTATAGCCAGTCTTGCAAACACATGTAACTTCATTCGTTGATGAATCATGTAAACAATTAGCATTATTATCACATCCACCATTGTTCACTTGACAAGTATCTGAAAATATGATATAGTTGAAGAACACGTACTAGTCTTATTAATATTTATATTCAGTTAAATGTGCTTACCTGTGCAAGTAGCGTAGAGGTCGGTACCAGAACTTGTATATCCTGTTTTGCAGGTACATTTCACGGCATATGTTTTTGAATCATGTGAACAATCAGCATGTACATCGCATCCACCATTTTGGACTTGACAGGTGTCTGCAAAGATATAATGAACAAAACAGTTTCAAATTAGTGATTATCGTATCAAACTACAAGTGAGTCTGATGTGTTGTCAAAAACGTGAAATGTCATTTAACAAGTGAAAGAAAGTTAGGCTAAATTATAAATAATTTAGATTCATTCTAATCTTACGAAATAAGCGTTGTGTAAACTTTTCCGACTAAATTAGTTTCAAGAATAACACACACTGCTCGATCACATCAATATAGAACTCATTAAAGCCTTCACAAGAACAGATACAATATCTTTTCAACTATTCTTATTCTGTATTTAACGGAGCTAAACGTGATGACTCTCGATGTTAGGTATAATAAATGAAACTGATCACTGTTTTTCAAAAATTTCTCTCAACAAGTTGAATCAGATAAAATATATATTTAATGTCATGAAATCATATTTCTTGTTTCTTTTTCTAGAAACATACTTACCGGTACAAATGACACCAGACATTGTACCAGTATTTGTGTATCCAGTCTTGCAAGTACATGTAACTGCATTTGTTGTTGCATCGTGTGAACAAATTGCATTTTCACCACATTCACCATTATGAATTGTACAAGTATCTGCAAGAAATATCAGACATTCAAAATTGTTTTGAATACTCTTCAGTATCATTCAAGCGAATTTTTTATACCTGTACAGATAACACAGGAGGGTGAACCAGTATTTGTATATCCAGTCTTGCAAGCACATGTAATTGCATTTGTTGTTGCATCATGTGAACACATTGCATTATTATCACATCCACCATTATTCATCTGGCAGGCATCTGCAAGAATGTGTTAAACATTAATTGTTGTATAACATATCTTATTAATTTCAATAATGCTCTTACCAGTACAAACAACCTTGCTAGCTGAACCACTGTTGATATATCCTGTTTTACATTGACATGATATTGCATAAGTTATTATATCATGTAAGCATTCGGCATGCATATCACAATCGCCATTATTGATAGTACAGGTGTCTGAAAATATGTATCATATATAAATAGTTGTATAATATGTTTAATAATTTAGATCATGTTCTTACCGGTACAAACGACTTTGGAATTAGAACCAGTGTTTGTATATCCCGTCTTGCATGTACATTTGGCTTCGTATGTGTTTTCATTATGTGAACAGATTGCATTATCATCACAACCGCCATTATGCACATGACAGACATCTACAACGAACGAAACATTTAAAGAGTGAAATAAATGATAACTCGAGTATTATCTAAGCTGAGTTGTCATACCTGTACAAACAACACTTGTATCAGAACCTGTATTTGTATATCCAGTCTTGCAAGTACATATGACTGCATTTGTTTTTTTATCATGACTGCAAATAGAATTACTATCACATCCACCGTTGTTGATTGTGCAATCATCTACAAACATAGTATATTTCAAATATAAAGAAATGAAATTGAGCATTCGGAATTTTACGGAAGCGAAATACTATCGTTCGGAAATTTAGCTTAGTAGATAATCGTACCAGATGGTTCTTATAAAGAATCAAAATTCAATGCTGTTCACATCTCTCGTTTACGCACAAAAGTCATGAAAAACATGGGACAGGACTTCTTCTTATACTTTACTTTAATCCGCTCTAAACTATTTTTAGTAACAAAAATAGTTACTGGAGATTTTAGGAGTATATAGACTACACAAGACTTGCGCGTTTACGTTTTAGATACGTTATGGAGTTCAGCTTCAAGTTTCATGAAAAGTCGAATATTACAAAGGCAACTTCTCTCTTGTTTTTGATAAACTCTTCACACACATATCAGTTCAATACCTCTCTATAGTGTCAAAAACAATTTTTTCCTTTGAAACACACTTTGGATTGAGTCAGCAACAGTCAAGGTGAGAATAAGAAAGAAGGAGTTTTGGATCTCCAAATGAAAATCTTTGCGATCAACCGACCCTAGTGAATTTCTTATTTACCTGTGCAACCGGAAGTGCCATTCGAACCAGACATTTCATATCCGGTCTTACATTGACATCTGACTGCATTCGTTGTTTCATCATGCATACAATTGGCATTTGATCCACATCCACCATTTTCGATTTGACAGGTATCTGCAAAGATGTGAGAGAAAAGAGTTTAGACATGATACGTGGTATTAGTTAGCATGATGTTCTGACCAGTGCAAACGACATCAGGCATTGAACCAGTATTTGTATATCCAGTTTTGCAAGTACATATAACTTCATTTGTTGTTTTATTATGTGAACACACTGCATTGTTATCACAACCACCATTATGTAGTTGACATTTATCTGCAAGGATGTGAATAAAAAGAGCGCTTTAATGATATTTGTTACAGAATTAGACGATGTTCTTACCGGTGCAAACACCGCTGGCATCCATACTATTAAATGCGTATCCTGTCTTGCAAGTACACAGCACGTCATATGTTGTTTGATCATGTATACAAATTGCATTGGCATCACATCCACCATTATTACCACAAAGACAAGTATCTAAACGAAATATCATACATTCAAAATTGTTTTCAATGCTTTCTAATGTCACTCAAGATGAACTTTTATACCTGTGCAAACAACATTAGAGTCAGAACCAGTGTGTGTATATCCGTTTTTGCAGGTACATGTGACTGCATTTGTCGTTGTATCATGTGAACAGTATGCATTGTTATCGCATCCACCATTGTTTACCTGGCAGGTATCTGTAAGAATGTAATAGACATATATAATTCTATGATATGCGTTATTAATTTAGATAATGCTCTTACCAGTACAAACGACATTAGTCATTGAACCAGTATTTGTATATCCAACCTTGCAAGTACATGTAACTGCATTTGTTGTTGTATCATGAGAGCAAATGGCATAGGTATCGCATCCACCATTATTTACTGTACAACTATCTGCAAGGATATAAGAAAAAAGAATCATTTAATGACATTTGATACTGATTCATACAAAATTCCTACCGGTGCAAGTAGCGTTCGAGCCTGTTGCAGTATTTGTGTATCCTTTCTTGCAAGTACATATTACTTCATTTGTTCTTGAATCATGAGAGCATCTGGCATTGATATCACATTCACCATTGTCTACTTGACAACTATCTGCAACGAAGAGAATATTCAAATAATAGAATAAAAAGTATAAATCTTCAATAATAGCACATCTCCTGTACCTATGCATTGTACATTGGCATCATACATTTTGCTCGTGTAACCAGTCTTGCAAGTACATATGACTGCATTTGTTGTTGAATCATGGGAGCATATAGCATTGGTATCGCATCCGCCATTATTCACGTGACAGGTATCTAAATAATAGAAACATGGAGAAAGATGTCGAATAGTCTGTAGTGATTAGTTAAACTGTTCTTTCTTACCTGTACATACGAGCATGGTGCCAGAACCCGTGTTAGTATATCCTTTTCGGCACGTACATTGAACTGAATAACTTGTCACATCATGTGAACAATCTGCATGTTCATCACATCCACCATTGTGATATTGACAACTGTCTAAAAGGAATCGAAAGAAATTATGGTTGGCCATAAATAAAAATGAAATTCCTGATGAGAGTATGCCTTTCAATGCCCATGCTAAAGTTAGAAGTCTGCGAAAATTTATATGACATTGCATCTAGACTAACTATTGGAAATATTATATTCAGTGAAGCAGTAAGGGCAGTTTTATAAGATCAATTTCAGTCATCTTATCCTACAAAACTATCTGTCCAAACTTGCTTTGCTTATACCACCTTCAATATATGTAAAAATACTTTACAGTATACCTACAAAGCCGACATTAATACTGACTGGACGAGCTTTGGTGTTCATTACGATTATAGGGAAAAACTCAAGCTTTAAAAGATATTTCCATTTCACTGATTTGGATCTAGTTGCTCAGTAGTGCCAGTAAAAAGAAATATGTAATGAAATACTACTTTTCATCATTTTTCTTGAGTTTCAACTGTTGATTTACCCTTTTCGTGTGAAAAATATAAAAGGACTATTTGTCTAATGAGCTAGTTAACTAAAGTAAGCTGGAGATAGATAATAGATAATCTGTGTCTCTTTCAACCTATATATTACTGTATATCTATAGAGTAATTTAGAAGTAGTATATGATAATTTATAACGACTGAGAATGTACGATGTTTGATGTATGTACATTTCAAAAATGTAATTAAGTTATCAATAAACGAGCTTCTCGTATACGTATTTGCGATATTTACCTGTGCAGGTACAATTAGAATCGGAACCAATATTTGTGTATCCTGGTTTGCAAGTACATTGGACTGCATTGGTCGATTTATCATGAGAACAAATGGCATTTAAATCACAGTCGCCATTACGTACTTGACAGGTATCTGTAGAAATAAGATGAAGAAAGTTTTTTTTGTATTTTATCTATTACACATTTCATTAATATGTCTCACCTGTACAGATAACATTAGATTCAGAACCAGTGTTTGTATAACCCATTTTGCAAGTACATTTGACTGCATTTGTGTCTGTACTATGAGAACATACTGAATTCATATCACATCCACCATTGTTTACTTGACAGGAATCTACAATAGAATTTAAGAATTGAAATCCAATCTTTTATTCATGAGATACTATTTAATCGTATAATGCAATAAGTAAGAAATAATTATACTGGACGATGTCCAATATCATAATAATGATTGAAAGAATAATCTCTATGGGATCAGTTTTAAGAAATCACTCAATATTGGATATTTATCTATAGCTGAATGACTTTTGAACTTTTATATAATGATGGTTCATTTTACTTTCGAGTATACTTTAGGTTGTTGAATAATAGAATACTCGATTGTAAAATCAAATACCTTCACGAAATCTTTCTGCCAGAAAACATAAGACAATCTTTCACTATTAGTTCGTCCTCGTACAGAGGACTTTCTCGATAGATAGCTGAATAGTTTTACCTGTACAAGTAACATTCGAGCTTGAACCAGTATTTGTATATCCTGTCTTGCAGGCACACACAACTCCATATGATGTTGAATCATGAGAACAATGAGCATTAGAATCGCATCCACCATTCTTGACCTGGCAGCTATCTATGAAAATTTAATTGTGGAAATTTAATCAATCATTTGTGATATTTTATTTCTTTCAAAAGAACATTACCTGTGCAGGTACAATTAGAATCAGAGCCAGTATTTGTATATCCAGTCTTACAAGTACACATGACTTCATTCGTATGTGTATTGTGAGAACAAACTGCATTGGTATCACATCCACCATTGTTTACTTGACAAGTATCTACAAAAAGTTCATAAGTGAGATTTAGACATCTTTCTCTTTAAGTTGATAATTTAAATCAGTTAGTTGTTGTTATGAGAAACTTTGCTGAGTGTACTGTAGTAGATAGAAAGTTAGAAAAACACACGATACTCAGTAAGAATCTTTATACATATACCAGCACTGAAAACATAACTATATTGATGAAAAGTGATGTTTTAGAAAGTATGGCAACTATAATCTGATATTCCAAATAAGTGATTAAAAATAATTATCCTAATCGATGTCCAAAATGTTAGCTAAGTACTTCATAATCTTCTTTTAGTTTGTTGCTCTCGACTATAATTTCTAACATAACAAGTTCCCTTATTTCGAGTACTTACTCAAACAATTATTCACTTGTCTACTTCACTGCTAGAATCTTTCGTATACTGGTAATAACAGTAGCGATTACTCTGCACATAGAAATTTGTGAGAATTGTTTTTTGATTATTATCGAAGATAGGATGTAAAAATGTCGATTGTTTTCAATAACGGGTCTAAACATGTGTTGAGTATCAAAATAATCATATAAACGAATATTATATCATGAGTATTGACTATTTCGTCGAAACTAGATGAAATGAAAGAATGGTACCTTTGCAAATGACATTGGAAACAGAACCAACATTGGTGTAACCAGTCTTACAAGTACATGTAGGAGCATTGGTTATTTCGTCGTGTGAGCAAATGGCATTTTTATCACAACCACCATTGGCAACGTGACAACAATCTATAAAAATATAATATGAAAAATTATTAGTACACAATCTGGTGCGTATGAAATCTTCCTCTTCTTTCAAAGGAAAGATAAGTTATTGCTTTTTACCTGAACAAATGACGGAAGAATCTGAACCCATGTTTATATATCCTGTTTTGCAAGTACATTTGACTGCATAGCTCGGGCTATCATGAGTACACACTGCATTTTTATCACATTCACCATTGTTTACTGTGCAGCTATCTACAAAGATTGGAAAAAAAGTTTCATATATTATAGGTATACATACAGTCTTGTCAATTGGAAGAAAAAGCTTTACCTTTGCAAGTGGCATTAGTATTGGAACCAGTATTTGTATATCCTGTCTTACAAGTACATTTCACTACATTAGTTTGTGAATCATGAGAACAATCTGCATTCATGTCGCATCCACCATTGGATACTTGGCAAGTATCTAAAACAATAAGATTAAAGAAATTCGGTTATCTATTTTAAACGAAGCGAATGATTTCTTTCAATGAAATTTTTTTACCAGTGCAGATAACATGGGACTCAGAACCAGTATTTGTATATCCAGTCTTGCAAGTACATATGATTGCATTTGTAGTGTCAGCATGTGTGCAAATTGCATTGTTATCACATCCTCCATTGGCTACTTGACAGCTATCTAAAAAATTAAGGCAATGAACACGTTTATCAATTCATAATCATCTGAGATTCTAGCTCACCTGTACACATGACGGTTGATCCAGAACCGGTGTTTGTATATCCTGTCTTACAACTGCACATAACTGCATTGGTTGTAACATTATGTAAACAATCGGCATGCATATCGCATCCACCATTCTTCAACTCACAAGTATCTACAAATATTTGATTTAAATGATGTTACACACATGGCACATATTGATGAATTTAGTTCTCCTTCTTACCTGTGCAAATGACCTTTGAATTAGTTCCTGTGTTTGTATATCCTGGTTTGCAGGTGCATTGTACTGCATATGTTGTTGTATCATGAGAACATACTGCATTCATATCACAATCACCATTGTTTACTAGACAGCTTTCTAAAAAGATATGACGAAAAAAATAATTCACATAGAGCAACTGTCATTGAATTCAATCAAGTTCTTTACCCATGCAATGAGGATTGCAGATACAACCTATGTTTGTGTATCCAGTTTTGCATTTACATTCAGTTGCATTTGTAATTGCATTATGCGAACATACTGCATGTTCTTCACAGCCACCATTGTTCACTAGGCAACCATCTACAAAAATTGTATAAGATACACGTTTTTTTGATGATATTCGTGTAGATCATAGGACGAAAATGTTACCTGTACAAATTACATTGGAGCCGGTACCAGTGTTTTTAAAGCCAGTCTTACAAGTGCATACGATTGCATTGGTAGTTGCATCATGAGAACAAAATGAAGTTGCACCGCATCCACCGTTATTTATTCGACAATTATCTGAAAAAATATGAAATAATTTAATGATGTTTGCTATTCACTAATGGACTGTTGGAAGAAAGAAAAACTATTTGACGAACTTTAATATTCTGTCAGACACTGTTTGTATCTTCAGAGATGTCTCTTGACTTCAACAGGATTCCATTACTAACTATAGCTAATCAATACGTAGTGTAGTAGATTCTATTTCTGAGCACTTGTCAACATGACTGATTACTGTTATATAACAGTGAACTTTTGAGTTTTGCTCTAGAATACTCGAGTTCAAAGTGAACATGATATGAATATTATACTGTTTATAATGCACTGTACGCTACTTACCCATGCATGTGACATTTGAGCCGGAACCTGTGCTTGTATAACCTGTTTTGCAAGTACATTTAAGCGCACCTGTTGCAGCATCCCGAGAACACATGGCATTTATTTCACATCCACCATTATCTATTTCACATGCATCTACAAAGATAATATATGAATGAGAATGACTTAAACATTTCATTCAAGCTATTTACCTGTACAAACGACATTGGAAGTGAAACCAGCATTTACGTAGCCAGTTTTACATGAGCATTCGGCAGCATGCGTATTTGCATTATGTGTGCAAATTGCACTAGCATCACATCCACCATTATTTATTGTACAGCTATCTGCAACGATTCATTTATTAAGTTTATCTGATGAAATTTATTGTGAATTTTAATGGGAGACACTTACCTGTACAGTTAACGTTTGAACTAGAACCAGTGTTTACGTAGCCAATCTTACAAATACATTTAACTCCATTTGTCACTGCATCATGAGAACAGTCGGCATTTGGACCGCAACCTCCATTGTCTACCTGGCAGCTCTCTAAAAGGATTTGGTTTTGATGATGTTACGCATCTGATAGATATCAGTAATATCAGTTGTGCTACTTACGTGTGCAAGTAACATTTGAATAAGATCCCGTATTTGTATATCCTGTTCTGCAGACGCATTCAATAACATCTACTGTTGTATTATGAGTACATATTGCATTGACATCACATCCACCATTATTCGTTAGACAGTTATCTAAAAAATTATGACAAAAAAAGCAATAAGCATAATGTCAGCTACTCTATCGAAGACTTTTTACCTGTGCAAATGACATTGGAGCTAGAACCAGTATTTTTATATCCATTCTTGCAAGTACATATGGCTGCATATGTTGTTGAGTCATGTGTACAGATTGAATTTCCACTACATCCACCATTATTTATTTTACAACTATCTGCAAATAATTAATATAAGAAATACGTCAAACATGATCTATGTCAACTACAAATAACTAGGTTTCTCACCTGTACAAACGACATTTGCAGTTGCATCCGTATCAGTATATCCTGTTTTGCATCTACATTTTACTGCGCCTGTTGTTCCATCATGTGAACAAACTGCATTGCTATCGCATCCACCATTCTGAACTTGGCAGCTATCTAAAAGAACGAGAAGAAATAAATTCAGAAGATCAAAGTGTATATTTACCTGTGCAAATGACATTGGATGTAGTACCAGTGTTCGTGAATCCAGTTTTACAAGTACATAGGCGTACACCCGTGAATTGATCTTGTGAACAAGCAGCATTTATATCACAATCACCGTTGTTGTCTAGACAAGGATCTAAAAAATAAATGCATATATTAAAGTTAATAATGTGTCTATCTGTGTTATTAAACGAAAATAATTGAAGAGGAAAATAGAAGTAAGTGATCTTTGCATGAATGGAATAAATGAAAGAATATCTATGCTATTATCACATCCTCATGTGAAAACAAGATGATGACAAGTTAATCAATTTTTTTTCTAATGAACAAAATGACATCTATTCAATTTCCGAAAATATATAGTTTTCATGTTCACAAGATTAATCAAGTGGCTATAGTCAGAGGTTCAAAAAGATCCTAATGCTCTATATGAAGCAAAGTAGACAATAACCGAATGAAAAATGAATACTAGTTTTCACACTTACTTGGAGGCATGCACACATCACTTAAAGTAAATTTAGTGTCGGTACCGCTCACATTAGCCGTGCAACCAAGAAGAGTATCTGCAGTTGGTGTATAACAGTATGCATGCATACCACATGGTTCTGAGATCATTTTAGTGACCGTGCCAGCTTTGGAAAACTGGCAATTGATCGAAACAAAAGCATTTGATATATCTGGTAATACAAAGTGCCAACCAAAGTTATAGCCATCCGGTGACACTGGACAACCAGCACTAATGTAACCTGGATTTACCGCATTGATACAACTTGATTCCAAAACTGCATTCTTGATAGCTGAAAACACAATAGGATAGAGAATATGAAATGTACGAATTGGACTAGTTCATGAATACTATTCAATATATCTCGCTGTTTTAGTGGATAACTCAACGACAACAATGTCTCTGTTTCATTGCAGTGGTAAACTGAACTGCACTCAATATCTTAGTTATCGAAGCTGATAGTTATATCAAAATATCTTGGACATTGCAATTCTAAGGATTTTTAGTCTTACTGAATTGCATTAGCACTATTCGTTTATAATTGTATTTCAGCAAACTTTATCTAAAAGACTTTTTAAAGCTGCTCAATCTATATCCATAGGCTGTTTCGTTTTATCTCACTAGCTTCAAACAATCACCATCGTATTGATACAAGGGTTCATACGAAAAAAAAGAATTATTGAAACTTACATGGAGCTAATTCACCAAACTGTATTTGTAAAATAAGCATCAATAATGCGAATACCAAATTGATGATATTGTTAAAAAACATCATTTCGTGAATGTAATACCAATTGACAGATCTGATATTGAAGTGACAATGTATGCAAACAGAAAGAAAATGTCATTAAACACGGAATGTATTGATATTATATAGCTGCGTAAATATTCACAATACAATAGTATTAAATAGCATAACAAGCTATTATTATCATGCAACAGAATGAGAAAATTTATTTTGCAGATGACACCAATATGTATTGTATCAATAGTTAATGTGTTTATATTTAGAATAATTTCGTATCCAGTTACGAGCAAATCCAAAAAAAGCAACAGAACACACACGTGCCCATTAGCGAGTACGGAGAAATGACGTTTTGTACCACCTCTTCATTACGGACTCCATGTATGTAACCTATTTCTTTTTCAAATACCCGATCACGTAGCCGGGTATTCGTAAAGGGTGATACGAAATATTATACACTCGTGGGTACATCGAATCCGTTGCAAGATGGCTAATCAGACTCATCGTAATGACTAGCAATCTGTAAAAGAAATACTATTCGATAGTTGAATTGCGAACTCATTCTACTACGTTTTATTGAACACAATCGTTGTATATCGAGATAATAATTGCTTCAATATTAAACAACTTCAGTGAGGTAGAAAAAAGCAGCGTTTAAAATTAATTAAATTTTTGTGTAATGATGAAGGAAGACAACTGGTTTCTTAATTTCATAACCTTTCATTAATTTTAGATTGTTTTGTGTTGATAGAGATTACTTTGTTCCCCAATGATAATAACAATGTCGTCGCATGAAAAAAAGTATTGAACTATCATTGACTATTAGAAATTGATCTTAGTTAAGTAATCTTAATAATCGATTAAAATAGTTTAAAAGCAATTAAAATCTAAATAAATTCTATCGTTAATCGTAAGGGTGGGTAGGTAGATGTAAATGACTCTATTCTCGGCATCACACCCACACCTTCAAGATGATGCAAAAGTCGTATTTCTGACTAAGTGCGTTCTCTGTTGAGTTTTTTTTATTGGTTCTTTCGAGGGAACCAACAAAATGTTTACCACGGTCTTAGTGACGAATTGTGTTATGGTAATTCAACATCAATGAATTAGTAGTAAATATTGATTTTGACAAAATTCATAGAAAAAGTGAATTTGCAATTAACATTTTTATTCAGAAAATGGCTATATCAAAAGTATCAACTTCATTACTACCGAATAAACTGAAAATCGTTTGGTTTTGGCAGTCAAATGCTGATCCCTGGAATGAAAAGGAGCAACGAGAGTGGAAACGTTATTCAGATTTTGAAAATGAATTTATTGAAGAAGCATATCAACGATCAGAAAACGAAGTTGATTTAATTGATCATGTTATTGAATTTGAACACAACATACAATACAACAAACGAGACAGAAATAAACAACGTAGGGTAAAACGTGATGAAATTGATGTGAGTAACTATGTGAGAGTGGAAAGATTTTGTTATCCTGAAAAGGCAGTGAAGTTGTTTGATGATGGTGATAAACCACCGGACTGTGCTTTTATGATAGAATGGCGCCGGAGAAAACGAGAACTAGGACAAGATGATGTCACTATTGCTGAACTTGCTGCTCAAGGTAAGAACATTTTAATCTTAATAACAAATCTTGTATATTTTGTTCACGTACTTGATGCAGGTATTTTACGAGAAGGTAAATTATTGAATCAAGAATTTGATGCCCAGCGAATGGCTGATCAATTGAGAAGTTATACAAATGATGATCGTGAAACATATAGTTGTGCTGCACGTCTCTATACTGCTGAATCATTTCTCTATAAATTACTTAATTCAACGTTAAGAAATGAAGATATGAGCAAGGCTGATACATTAGGACCATTCTTTCATTTATTATACAAACATGTACAGGTTGCAGGCTATGATCGTGAAGAACAAACTGTTTATCGTGGTACAACTCTCACCAATGAAATGCTTGAAGGATATAAAAAAGCTGTTGGTACTTCAATTAGATGGTTAGCATTTACTTCTACGTCAAAAGATCGTCGAGTAGCTGAGACATTTAATGGTAATACATTATTTATCATAACTTTGCAAAGTTGGTTTCTTTTCGACGCACGATGTGCTGTTTCTGCTCTCTCACATTATCCTGATGAACAAGAAATACTACTTACAGCTTCATACAGATTTCGAGTAGAAAAAGTTGATCATGATACAACAAGTGGGAAATATTTTATTTACATGAGAGATGAGAATCGGTGATAAGAAACTGAAATCAATTATGGATTAATAACAACTACTAATTATATTATTTTTTATATTGAACTCTCAAAGTACATTATATAGTTTTTACAGCGTCCATTTCTTCTAATCTCATCTATATTGTCATAAATATTATATCAAAAACTTTGTTTGCTCAATCATTGTGAACATCAATCTTCTTTTGATCGTCAGATATTGAAATGTTATAACACAAACATCACTGTATCTTGAGGGTGAATGGGTATGGGTGTATATAATATATATATATATATATACGATGTATGAAAATTTTAAATTACTTTGTAATTCTTATTCGGCATGAACTCCTTTCATTTTTGTTTTTCTAATATGCCAGGATAGAGCGTGTTGGCTTTAGCACGTTTATTTGAAATCGGATTACTTTTTCGTTTATATTTATTAAAAGAGCATGATAAAATCAAAAATTTTCAAAACTCTTTCGTTCGATTAATTTTCACCACAGTCTGCGCACACAACCTGAGCACCAGCATACGATAGAGGGTTCTGGTTTGACATAGCCCAAAAGCTCCCCATTTGACATTCAGCCAAATTCATTGCGTCTGTCTTGCATGTAAATGAACCTAACATAAATTGGCATGTTCGCTTCGCACTTTTGCCATCAGGACAGGTAAAAAGACAGTCATCGTACTGAGTCCAGTGTACTAACGCATTCGCAGCATATTCACTACAACCAAGTGAACGGCAAACTGTTGTGACAGCAGCCACAGGAAGTACAGCGGAGTTACCTAAATGAATGATATAAAAAGGTCAAAACTGGAAAGATCGAAAAGAATTCTCGAAATAAAAATATCGAACGGTGAAAACACCGAATGATAGTTATATTCAAAAACTAAATGCCGAAAATTTCAACATACAATAGATGTGAGTCTAGATTGCGAGACAGAGTTATATAAGATATGGTTGGAGCACAGAGTTATTGTGTGAAAGCTTGAGTACAAGGAGAAAAATTGGACTTAAAGTCCTAGTACATATTCATGCAACTAAATTAGTCTCTATGTATTTATTTTGATCATAAAGATTCATCAGAATTCATTAAAACTTCACGAATCCAAGCTCAATGGTTGTCAGTCTTATTTAAACTGTCCGGACATTTAGTAATATAAAGTAAGAGTATATAACTAAGGCTAACAATAGGGTATAACGTAACAAAGTATTACTCGAGAAAAGCTCTAGTACAAAAATGGCCATGAATTTTCTGTTGATTAATAAACACAATTTTTCGCCATTTTTATACGCTCGATATGTTTATTGTTTGACCTTTCTCCTGTCTTTTTTATTTCGATGTCTTTTTCTTTATCTTTTTAGTTTCGACCTTTTCCATACATACCTGCAAAGGCCATGCCTTCAAATGAAATTTCATCGGTACTGTTCGTTAAACGCATACGCGCACGTAGCTTTAACGGATTGAAACCAGTAACATCAATTGATATTAATCGTCCTGGATAATCGCCTGTTTTAAATGTTCGTGGATCACAGGGTAGAGTAGTCATACATATCAAGGGAAGTAGTGCAATCCACCCAAGCAAGATTAAGAGCGACATATTCTCTAAATGTGGCAGAAAATAAAACAGAAGCTCACTTTCGAAAGAAAGTCAACGCACTTACCGTAAGTTACTTTCAAAGAAAGTCTGAATGTAAGAAGCAGTTGAAATGAAACGAAATTTTTTTATTGTGAATTTGAGAGAGCATTACATGCCTTTTTAAAAGGACATCTGCTTTGCATATACTCAAGTTATCTACCCTATCTTCTTTTCCGCGAAATTGACGCATGTATTTGTTCTCATCGTGTATTTTCAAGGCTAACCTGAAATAGACTAATTTCTAAGAGAGAAATCAAGCAGCTTGTACTTTTTCTCATCGAACGATTTCTTTCTCCGAAAAGGGAAGAATAATCCGTGGTGGATTAATACTAGCGTACATATCACAAATAAAACACTTTTCAAGATATACTCATTTCGATTGTAGTTATAAACGAAAGAAAATGTATCGCATTTTTCTTCTCGTTCTATTCTGTTCTCTTCATTATTCTCGACAAGCCAATATTAAATGTTTACCAGGACAATTTCCGAACCAATATGATGAATGTCAAAAATGTCCAAAAATTCACTATTGTCCAGATGGATCACGTGCGTTAGAGTGTGAACCCGGTACGTATAATAATTTGTATGGTCAACAGGCCTGTCGCAAATGTCGCCCTGGTGACTATCAAATTTATTCTGCTTCATCCGCCTGTGATCGTGCCTATCGCGGCTTCTACTCGGCAAATGCCTCAAGTGAACCTGTTCCTTGCTCACCCGGTACTTATACACATTTGCCAGGGCAAGTTGCCTGTCTCCCGTGTCCTCATGGTTACTATCAAATCCACGATGGGCAGAGTGGATGTGATCGTTGCCCTCGTGGCCATACTTGTGAAAGTGCATCAGCTAAACCGAAGGAATGTCCACCAGGTATGCACAACCCACTCTTCAATCAAGTAAAATGTCGTCCTTGTAAACGAGGCTATTACAATTTGGATAGTGGATCGTCAGCGTGTCTAAGATGCCCAAAAGGTCATCGATGTCCCAATACAACAGAGGCACCCATACCATGTTCTCTAGGTTACTACAACAATTTATACCAACAGACTGAATGTAGACCATGTAAGAAAGGATGGACTACAGTGAATGAAGGTGAACATAAATGCATGGATGAAACACTATTACTCGGATCATTAATCGGATGAAAAGTTACAAATAATCGTTTTCTGATTTGTGAACGTGTTTTTTTATCAAACTTCTTTTAATAAAATTAAGTTTGATTGAGAAATGTTGTAGACTTGATAAACTGGTAAAAGAAATGTGAGGGTGTGAATGTGTCATCCTGACTGGAGGTCGAATCACTCTAGGTGACTGACTTGAGAGAAAAGATGATGGGTTGTGATCCGAAATGATATATTGCAAAGCGATCACCACTATGTATACTGCACACGAACAGAAGTGAAGCTTAAATAGACGAAATAAATGTAGAGTAAATTTAATGAAAATCTTATATTTTAATAATAATAATGGAAATTTTCGATCTTTATCGATCATTGTCAACTACAGAACACAAGCAAAACATATACAAATATAACGGAGTTCAATAGTACAAGTATAAAGCTGTTACAACTACAATTATATATATACAAAAAACGTAAACTTTAACAACATAAACATGGCAACATGAACAATTCACAACGGTATTAACTATCATCTTTAATAAATTCATAATTTAATTCGATCTTAATTCAAATTATAATTTATTCCATATACCTATATACTTACGAACAACATATGTACGAATATCTACTAAATAATAATAATGAATGAAAAATAATAATGAAAACGTGAGATTTAATGCAAACTTAAATAGACGAAATAAATGTAATCATATATATCCAACTTAAATAATAATACACTTAAGAAAATCAAACAACTTTGTTTTATTTGTGTAGTTTCAATTAAAAAATGAATATATGTTGAATATAGATGACTCATTACAAGAAAGAATATTAACATATACACGCATATGACTGAATATAGAATAAAAATTGAAATCTATTATAGAAATAAATATTATTTATGATAGAAAACTTGTTATTAAAATCTCTTTAATTTCTTGGTAAATTTTCTCTCGAAATTCTTCAACATATTTTTGATGATTTAATAAGTAAAAAGATATTTTATTGAATTCTGAACATTTAGAATTGATTAATTTGAGCAATTCTTATTGATTTTATATATCGAATTATTTACTCCGAACGTATCACATAACTTATTTTCTTAAGATCAACATATATTCAATTTTAATATTTGTTTTTTTTTCTTCTATTGTTATTCATATCGATTTATGAATATTCGTTTTTTTGAATATTAACAATCTTGAGAAATATCATTTTCATCGAATCTTTCGCATCATATCAGTACTGGTATGATTTGAATTTCATTATAGAAACTCACAAATGAATAGCCGTGTTATTGTTTTATTAAATTCTCACAGATTAGATTTTCATGTTAATTATTTGATAATTATGATAAAATCATATTTTATTTTTGAAAAAATTTATTTAATTTTCGAAGATTGACTTCAGATGATATTCGTATAAAAATAATATTGAACAAACTATTTGTTATCTTTTAAAAATATCATTCTGATTTTAATATAACACATCGATATATTGATTAGATTTTAATATGAGAAAAATAATAATCAATATACCACACTAGTCGACGTTCTTGTCCTCTTCTTTCCAGGTTCTTGCTTTTCTTGACTTTCTGACAAGATTCTTGTGTTCAGGCAAGATTCTTTTCGACAGGAAAGTAAAAAGAATAATACAAGAATTTTCAGTTGACAAGTATCTTGTCTGAACAATCAGAAATAAAAGAATCAGGCAAGAATTAAAAGATATTCAAGATATGTTAATATTCAGACAAGAATCTTTTTCTTCTCTTTCAAAAGAATCTTGACTGAAGTTCATGATAAAAAGAAACTGGAAAGAAACACAAGATATTTTAAATTTCTTAATATTCAGACAAGATTCTTGTAATAGAAAAGCAAAAAATATTCTTGCCAGCTTTCCAAGATGAACGGCACGTGATATGGTCTTTGTTTATCACATATATAAAAGCATTGGCTGACCGTTATTTATTCATAATCATTACTGACTGAATAAGTATAGTACACACTCACTTATACTATTTTATTTTCCTAAAGCGTTTATTTAGTTTGGACGACATCTAGTAAGTTATTATTTTAACTGGATGCATACTAAAAGTTTATTTCATATAAATAAAACAATGGAATATATGATATCCATTTTCTCATTGTTTATTGAAGGCAATCCTTATTGAACATATTTTGATATTTTTCTAATTCATATCTATATATTTTATTTTTTTTTTCTAGATTTTTCACTATCGATAAAAGTATTGCATATAATGGACGAAGAAAATATTGATTTATTTAAAAAATTATTGTTTGATAATCCTCTTCGTATAGATAAAATTTTAAGGAAATAAATAATAAAAATTTTGTTTTTTATTTTTTTTTGTGTTAAAAATTAAAACTACTTCATGAATATGTGAAAATTAAAGTATTTTTTTGTTCTTTCGTATTTTTTTGTACATGTTGTGAAATGCTTATAATAAAACGATATGAAAAAGGTAGTAATAACCTAAAAAAGGCTTTTTTAATATGACCAGAATCAGGCAAGAAGCCTAAGAAATCAGAAACAGGCAAGAAAATCAAGAAAAATAATAATCAGACAAGAAAGTAAGAAAGATAAGAATCAGGCAAGAATTCAAGGAAAACAAGAATCAGGCAAGAAAATAAGAGAACAAGAATCTGTCTGAAGAAGAATTTCTTGCCTTATCAGACAAGATTCGGTCTACACGAATATCACAAGAAAGGCAAGATCAGTTTTTTCAGACAAGAATCTTGTATGTAAAAAATTTTCAGGCAAGAATCTTGCATGTAAGGAATAGAAAAAGAATCCTGCCTGAAAATCAAGAAAAACAAGAACCTGGAAAGAAAAGGACAAGAACGTCGATTGGTGCATATTACTCTTTATTTTATTAATAAATAAGCAATTAAAGAAAAATAAAAATAAATTTATTTTTGTATTTCGCATAAAAGTATTTTTCATCTCAAAATTATGAAAAGTTTATTTAAACGAGTATTCAGTTTTCATATATGAATCTATACTGAGATATATTAAAATAAGTTTTAAAATATCCTTTTAAATACAATACTTACGTTTTATGATTAAATCTGACTATTGTTAAAATTAAAGCTATTCTATCTTTTTATTTGAAAAAAACTGACAAGAGAATCTAATAATGAATCAATGAATAACAGTCTCTCTCAATACTTAATTAACAGCAACTAGACACATCTTTTTATAATCAGGCGCGCTTTCTAACACTATATCTTATTTATTTATTTATTCGATGAAAAAAGGAATTCAACGTGAGACATTTATGGAATTCTTATGTAAATCAAAATAATTACAAAACATCAAAGTTTAGAAATTCAATTCTTTGAAATACTTTCATTTTGGTAAGTTTGTTTTTTAAAATAATACGAAAAATGAATGAAAAATAGTAATACACAATAACTATGTCGAGAATGAAAGTGATGATTATGATGATGAAAGAGAACATGACAATGCAGTTGATGAAGATCTACGTTTAATCTTTACTTACATCTAGATCTACATTAAAACATTCTTTCATTTAATAAATATCACAAAATTCTTTGATTTTTTATTTTAAACTAAAACAAAATCGATTCACCAGTCAAATTTCAACTTTGACTAGTCGAAATTGAACTTTTATTTTTGACTAGTCAGAACTGAAATTTCAATTTGGACTGAGAACATATTAGACGAAATTGAAATTTCAATTTGGACTAGTCAAATTTGAAATCTGACTAAAACATCTATAAAAACAGATAAGAATATATTCATTTCGTCTATCAACTTCTATGCAAAGACGTGACAATGGCAAATAACCAAACACTATGTTTTGTATGTAATGAAGAAAAGACAACATATCCCTGTGAAGGATGTTCGAAAAGATTTTGTTTAATACATTTAACAGAACATCGAAAAATATTAACTAATGAATTCCAGTGTGTCACCAATCAATATAATGAATTTAAACAAAGAATTGATGAACAAAAACAAAATCCACATAATCATTCCTTAATAAATCATATTAATCAATGGGAAATAGAATCAGTTGAAAAAATTCAACAGAAAGCACAAGAGTACAGAACAATCCTCACTAAATCATCAGAAACATCTATTAATGATATTGAAATGAAATATAAAGACTTGAATGAACAAATAAAACAAATGCAGAAAGAAAATGATTTTAATGAAATTAGTTTAAATTATTTAAAAAATCAATTGATGAAAATTACAGAAGAATTAAATAACACAACAAAGATTTCTATTCAAGAGGATACACAATCATTTATTAATGATATTTCAATTATTTTATCAAAAAGTAAGCTTTTACCAAATAATTTCTAACCGGATAATTCTCATTTTCTATCAAATTATTTTAAACAACTATAATTCAAAGAAAAAGAATAACAGGATACGGAATAATATCTAAGAAAGATTTTTCTAAATATTTATATTAAAATGAATAATAAAATCAAGCAGATTATATTCTTTTCATCGAAATCTTTTATTATCTTCATCATTTTCTAGAACCCAAATGGGACAAATGGAAACAAGATGCCATCACTGTAGCTGGTGGAAATGGACAAGGACAAAAATTAAATCAACTCTATTATCCTGTTGGAATCTTTATTGATAAAAATAAAAATATTTTCACTGCTGATTATTGGAATCATCGTATTGTTGAATGGAAATATAATGCAAATGAAGGACAAATCATTGCAGGTGGAAATGAAAGGGGAAATGACATGGAAGAATTGAATTGTCCAACAGATCTAATTATTGATCAACAAAATCATTCGATCATCATTGCTGATCAACAGAACAGACGAGTGGTTCAATGGATAAATCAATATCAACGATATCTCATTGAGAAAAATATTGACTGTAATGGCTTAGCAATGGATAAATATGGTTTTCTTTATGTTTCTGATTATGTGAAGAATGAAGTGAGACGATGGAAAATGGAAAAATACAACAACGAAGGAATTGTAGTGGCAGGTGGAAATGAACAAGGGATTCAACTCAATCAACTCAATCATCCAGGTTTTATCTTTGTTGATGATGATCAATCTGTTTATGTATCAGATCAAGATAATCATCGTGTGATGAAATGGAGAAAAGGTGCAAAAGCAGGAATAATTGTAGCTGGAGGAAATGGCAAAGGAAAAAATCTGAATCAATTGTCTTCTCCTCGAGGAGTGATAATTGATAATTTTGGTCAAATATATGTGGCAGATTGTTGGAATCATCGAGTAATGCGTTGGTGTGAAGGTAAAGAAGAAGGTGAAGTGGTTGTTGGTGGAAATGGTGAAGGAAAGCAATCAAATCAATTGAATAGTCCACATGGTTTATCTTTTGATGACGAAGGAAATCTTTATGTTGTTAATTCGGGAAATCATCGAATTAAAAAATTTGAAATAAATTTGTAAATGAAATTTTTTCGTTAAAATAAAAAATCGACAAATAAAAATAAAAGAAATTAATATTATTGAAAATGAATGAAAACGTCGAGTAGAATTTGATGAGAAAAGAACGAGGAAGAATCTGTTTAGTTGTTTTTTCTTCAAAACAGAATTTAACTTGATAATTTTGAATAAAACATTCGAATAAATAGATGTTAAATAGTTCATGTCTTATTGAGTTTTATCAATTTTTACATAGGAAGAGAGGAGAAAAATATTTTTCTTTAATTAATTAACGAATTTTTGTTTCTTTACTAATTTGAAATTTGGAAAAAAAAATGAATTTCGGATCAAATTTATTGTTTGATTTTGAAAATACTTTTAATAAGAATTGAATAGAAAAATGATTTATCAAAACAAAACATTGTTTTTTTGGTATTTTTCTTCACTTGAAATAGTTTTATGTAGGTAAGTTATCAGTTTTTTTAAATAAGAAGATGAAAAATAAGCATTAAGAATACCACAGGACAACCATTTCGTCTGAAAATTTTTTGTACATAGATGTTTTTTTAATTTAAAATTATCGTCAGTTCTGTTATACAACATATGAAAAATGTAATAAGAATATAAACATCATCTATATATCGAATATTCTTAATTGTGAAGATTATTCAACATTTTATTGAAAGAAACTCATAAAAGATTTTCCTTTTTTCTTATCTTATCTAAAAATATAAATGAGTTATAAAATCCAATTCATTTAAGAAAAAACTAACAAATTTCTAATCTTTCCATTGATTATTTTAGATTTCAATTAATATATACATTATCAATGTGTAGAATGCAACTAGCAACGATAACAACAAACTAAATCAGTTCAAGTTTATTTCATTTTAGATTTTCTTTATAGATTGAAATCTTCTGTTTGAATTGAGAAAATGAATCTGTTATCCCTTTTTCATCTAAACTTATCATGAAAAATAGTAAAAATCTCTAATTTTGTTTATTCTATTCATTGACTAATTATCGATCTTTAATTAATAATCTCTTATTATTCATAGTGATTCATATATCAATATCTGTGTAGTTTTTTGTAAAAAGTGTGAGTATAGTCGTTTAAATATTTTTCTCTCAAATTTTCATCCATATATAACAAACTTGTTGAATATTTTGTCCAATTTTTTTCTGAAAAGATGGATAACATCATTTTTTTCATTCGATTTGAAGGCATCTTTGTTTGTATTATGAGATAATTCTCTTTATAACATAATAGTTGATATTATGAGATTTCTATGAATCCCTTGATAGATTTTTATGATAAAACTATTGTAGATTTACTAAGAATTACAGATTATAAAAGAACAATGTAATGAAACAATAGACATTCTCACCCGCATTCTTAATTTATTCATTTATATAAAATTCTTTTATTAATTTCCGTAAAGACAAACGATGAAATGAAGAAATTCCTGTTTATTTTTTATTTGATTTCAAAACGTCTTTTGTATCAAATAAAAGCTCTTTAAATTCATATAAATTAAAAAGATAAAATTTTTGTATATGGAAATGATTTTTATTTCATTGATAAATTGAATTATTTATGAGAAAAGAGACGAAGAGCAAGATGGATAGAAGTCGAAGATCGGCATAGATCTCAAACAAGTTCAGTCTTAGTCAATTACGATAATCTAAAAAGTACAATTTTGTATTAAAAACTTTTAATTTCCTTGATTTTTTCCTCTCTGATTGAGACATCAATAAAAACTTTTTCTAAGTTTTCAAAAATTATTATGAGTTTATGATCAATTATTTAAATTATTTTAAGAAATCAACTTTAAATTATAGATCTAGACTTACTTTTGACAAAATTAAATAATTATTCGAATAAAATAAAAATTTAATAAGAGTCAATAAAATAATAATGTTCTTTTAATTAATTTTCAATTGGAAAAGAATTTAATGATAATTAATTTCTTTTATCATTTTCATCTAATAAATATTTGATTTTAATGGTATTAATAAGATTCTATGTCATAAATTCATTTCTACTACAATTTAACATTTGTTTTTCTTTTGTCGATTGATTTTTAGATCAATCGTTTATTTAAACACATTTAACCAACATCCTTGAGAGAAATTCAAGAAAAACCATCATCATCATGTCTAAGAGTATTAAATTGGTTAGTGAAGTAAAGAGAATTGAATAGATTAATGACATCTATTGAAAATTTTACAAACAAAACTTTTGTTTGTTTTTTAATGAAAATTACAATACTATTTGTATCTCAACTCATATAAAAGACGAACGATTAATAAAATTTTCATAAGTCATTTTCTTTGAAGAGACTTAGTTTTAATTCAATATCCATTAATACCAAACTCATTTTATGATGAAATTTTTTTCTTACCTACCAAAAAACGGTTTTCTTCGTTCTTTTATTATCTGCTAATATTTATTGACTATGACTCATTTTCTTTTGTATAAATAAATACACAGACAAAATGAAAACAAATATTCTTTTTTTTAAATTTTTCGACAAATGGCAACAGCAACCAATAAAGTACAATGTTTTGTGTGTAACAAAGAAAAAAATACATACAATTGTAAAGGATGTTCAAAAGAATTCTGTTTTCCTCATTTAACAGAACATCGACAAAGCATCAACACACAATTAGAGGCAATTATTAATGATCATGATCAATTTCAACAAACAATTATTCAACAAAAACAAAATCTTCACAATTCTTCTTTAATTCGACAAATTAATCAATGGGAAAAAAATTCAATTCATCACATTCAACAGACAGCACAACTATGTCGAAAAACAGCGATGAAATTAACACAAAAATCAATCAGTGATGTGGAAAAAAAGTTTATTGAATTATCTAAGAAACTGAAAGAAATTCGTGAGGAAAATGAATTTAATGAAAATGATTTAAAGCATTTTCAATTAAAATTAACACAAATTACAGAAGAATTTCTTCAACCGTTAGATATTTCTATTCGACAAGATTTACAAGAATTTATTAGCAAAATTTCAGTTAATATTTCATCATTCGGTATATTTATTTAATTATTTTATTTCGAGAAAAGAGAAAACGAAGCTTAAACGAAGTATTTTTTCAAGTTTTTCGTATTACAAATTATTTTTATCAACGTGATTAATGATGTTTTATTAAAGAATTTAATTAGTTGCAGATTTAGAGAGAAGTTTTAAATGTTGAAAATGAACAAATATAAGATCGAGAGAAGTCTAAAAATACTTCATATGTAAATGATTTGAATCAGAGTTTTCAGGATATAATGAGATCTGTCAGACTATTTCAATATGAAAGCAACTCTTGAAAGTTAGTAATTATGAAAAAAGTTAATCTGTGTAGCAGATAGTGTCACACGTCAGAATATCGCTTTTTTTTGTTATTAAAATTCTTTTCAAAATTTAACAGAAAAAGAATCAGATAAAATTTGTTTTTTCATGAGATATTTACATAAACATCTCATTCAAAATTCAAATTTGACAAAAATAATCAGAGTTTCATTCAAAATTAACCATTTCTCTTTTCTTCGATCAAAGGCAAATCTTCTTCTTTTATTAAAATGTTTTATTTTCATCATTTTCTAGAAACAAAACTCAACAAATGGAAACAAAAGGCTAGTACTGTGGCTGGTGGAAATGGACATGGACTAGAATTAAATCAACTTCATCACCCTCGCGGAATCTTTATTGATGAAAAGAATAACATTTTCACTGCTGATTTTTTCAATCATCGTGTTGTTGAATGGAAATGTAATGCAAAAGAAGGACAAATCATTGCAGGTGAAAATGGTAGAGAAAATCGAATGAATGAATTGAATTATCCAACACATATGATTGTTGATCAACAAAATCATTCGATCATCATTGCTGATTGTGGAAACAGACGAGTGATTCGATGGATGAATCAAAATCAGCAAATACTCATTGAAAATATTTACTGCTGTGGCTTGGCAATGGATAAGTATGGATTTCTTTATGTTTCTGATTGGAAGAGGAATGAAGTGAGACGATGGAAAATGGAAGAATACAATAACGAAGGAATAATAGTGGCAGGTGGAAATGGACTAGGAAATCAACTCAATCAACTCAACTGTCCAAATTTTATCTTTGTTGATGATGATCAATCTGTTTATGTATCAGATTTTAACAATGATCGTGTGATAAAATGGCGAAAAGATGCAAAAGATGGAAAAGTTGTGGCTGGAGGAAATGGTCAAGGAAGAAATCTTAATCAATTGTCTTGTCCTCAAGGAGTAATTGTTGATGATTTGGATCAGATCTATGTAGCAGATAGTGTGAATAATCGAGTAATGCGTTGGAGTGAAGGAAAAGAAGAAGGTGAAGTTGTTGTTGGTGAAAAGGGAAAAGGAAATCAACCAAATCAATTGAATTGTCCCTTTGGTTTGTCTTTTGATAATGAAGGAAACCTTTATGTTGTTGATTGTTGGAATCATCGAATTGAAAAATTTAAAATAATATTGTGAATGAAATTGTGATTTTGAAAAAAAGAAAAGAAATTTTTTGTTAAATAAAAAATCGAGAAATAAAATTAAAGAAAAATTCAAGTTTTATTATTGAAAAGCAATGAGGAAATCGAATAAGTTTTGAGGATGCGAGAGTGTAGGTGATAGCTAGAACCATGTTTCGTCCACTCTCACCCACACCCACCCATAAGCACCGAAAGGATAAGAGACAATAGTATTTTCGGTGTTGACTAGTTTCGGTAGCAGAAGGGCTTGTAACCTTGAGGTAACGGACACTCTTGCATATCTTCTGAACTGAAGGGTGTGGGTGTATATATTTGATAAAGGAAGAGACACCCACACCCACCCTCAAGATAAATTGCACATGGTTGATATATTTACTTTCACAATATATTATTGTTGGTGACTTTACTATTTACTTTCATTAACGGTATATCGACGATTTATAGAGTAGTTCTACGAAACTACAGTTTTTATAATTATACCTTGGAAATATGAGAAATTTTATAAACACATGGATCAACTAATAATACAATCTAAAAGATGAATAATCCATCGAGTAACATATTATATATTTCCATGGATACTATTGCCATTGCGTGTTTCAATGAACGAAATAAATATCTCAATATTCAATCTTTTTTTCAAATCAGTTCAATAGAATCAATGAAAAATAAACTTTTGAAGAAATACAGCAAGATAAAACGAAAGATAGTCATTGAGCGTGGATGTGCGGTGGGTGTCTATTATCTTTTAACCCACACTGACACCCACATCCACACCCTCAAGAAAAAACGATATATTGAAGAATCGATTTATTTTATGAATTATCTATAAACATAAAAACATACATTACGATCGTACGAAGAAAGTATGTTTATCATGGAAGTGCAAGATGGTTATGACAGGATGGAAGAAGCCAAAAACGATTTAATAACAAACTCTGTACAAAGTTCGATAAGAATAATTTTCACTGTCGAAGCATCACAGATTCTTATTAATTTTGTATTTTATCATCATTTTT